TCTCCAACCTCAGCTTATGCCTCTTTCCTACTCATTCCTATTGCCTATTCTGTTCTAGGCACATTCTTTATTGCTTTAGATGCTTTTCTGTGTACTTCCCTCTTTCTGAAATTCTCTTCCCTCCATGCTTCACATGCCTGAATCCTTCTTATCCTTTAGGGCTTAGCTAATGTATCGCTACCTCTTCTAAAATGCCCTTTCCTTATTCTCCATCTCACCACATTATTCTCTATCCCAGTACCTGCTTATTTCCTTCATGGCATGTACCACAAATTGTAATTATTTTATTTGTTGGTTTACTTATTTTTAGTTGTTTCCTGTGCCCCCCAATAAAACTTAACAGTATATCTTTGTTTCAGGGACTGTGTCTTTCTTGTTTACCATTAAATCCCTAGCACATATGGAATTCCTGATACAAAATAGGCACTCACACACAAATGTTTGTTGAACTAACAAATGAATGTGAATGTGTGAAAGGCATGTGCTATTCACTAGGGATTAATTATATATATACATATATATATATATTTTTTTTTTTTTTAAAGACAGGGTTCCTGTTGTCACAAACTTTATAGTCCAATCAGGGATACATATCAGTTATCAGGCAATTGCAATATAACTTAAGTGCATGATGTCAAAAGGACATAGTGCTATAAGAGCACAGAAGAAAAGTGTGGAGATTTCTGCTTCTGCTATGATGGAATAGCATATTTGGACCAGTCCTCCCACTGAGAACATCTATAAAAACTATATACAATTTTTTAAAGACAAGAAAAAGCAGGTGTCTGAAGAAAACAACCAAGATAGCTAAGAGTCAGGGTACCTAGAGGAAAGTGAGCCACAGAGAAGTAAAACTGGAATTCTTTACCATATTTTTCCCTCAAAGCAGTTACTAATTTCAAAGCCAGGAGTGAGATAGGAAGAAAAGTATAAATGGTACAACAGGCTAAGAAGCCAAGGATAAAAAAGAGTAGCTAAGAAGGTAATAAAATAAGCAGAATTTCTATCAATCTTAGGAGTTCAGTGCCTGCCATGGACAAAGGAGCCTGGCAAATATCTCAGGCTTTCAGCGTAAACCTTTGAAAGGCTGTGCTCTAGAATAAAGACAAACTAGAAATAAACCAGCCTTCACAGGGACTGGAATCCAGCATCAAATTATCTCAATCCCTCATTAGATCAAGATAATCTGTGTTTACCTTAACTAATTGCCAACAGAAATTAAATTCTTTCTGGAGAAAAAAATCATCATCCAGAGCTTCTTCAATTTTTCATAAGCAATGTTTGGGCTTCAATTTTAAAATTACTAGATATGCCAGAGATAGAAAAAAATGACTAAAATTTAAAAGAAGAAAACATTGAAAAAAGAGACCTAAAAACAATTCTGATATCTATATTGTCTCACATGGACTTTAAATAGCTGTTATATGCTTAAGAAGAAGGAATGACACAGTGGCAAATTTCACTAGAAAACTGGAATCCATTCATGAGAATCAAACAAAAATTTTAGAAAAAGGATAGAAAATATGGAAAAGAGTAAAAGACATGGGATATTGTGAAAGGTCTAACATACATATAATTGAAGTTTAAGAAGGAGAGGGAGAGAGTGAACAGAAGCAATATTTAAGATATTGGCAGAGAGTTTTCCAAAACCAATAAAAGACATCAAGACAGAGATTCAAGGAGTTCCACTAATCTCAAGCCAGATAAATATAAAGAAACCACACCTAGTTAATCAGCAAAATTACTGAAAACCACAGACAAAAAGAAAATGTTAACAGAAGGACACATTACCCTGAAAGGACCAACAATAAAACTTACAGAAATGATTCAAATGGAAATGATGGAACCCCAGAAACAATAGACTGGCATTTGTAAAGCTCAGAGAAAAATTAGTACCAATATGGAACTGTATATCCATCAAAAATTTCCTTCAGAAATGAAGGGGAAATAAATACATTTTTAGCCAAACAAAAACTGTGCAAACCTACCCTAAAGGCAGCTTTTCAGGCAAGGTTATGAAAATGTGGAAATGTAGAAAGGATTAAAGAGCAAAGAAAGTGTTAATATGTCAGTGAATATAAGTGAGTGTTGATTATATAAAATAATATCTTGTGAAATTTAAGTACATATAAATACTATATATTAAACATAAATATAGTATATACTGGCTATGTAGTATATATAGAAAATAGATATAATAGTTAAAATATAAACATATATACATGCACATACATTTATAGTTAAAATGTATGTAAAATATATAGCACACAATAGCATAAAAAGTATAGAGGAATAAACTGAGTTAACATGTTTTAAAGTTCTTATATTATATGGGAAGTGATAAAAATACCAAATTATGATACTGTAATAAGTCAAGGATACATATTGTAATCTCTAAAATAACCACCTAAATAACAATATATAATAATATAAAAATGTGTAACTAACAAGCAAATAGAAGGGAAAGAAAATTAAATAAAAAATATTTGATGACTCCTAAAGAAGGCATATAGAAGAAGAAAAAAAGAAACAAAACCAAAAATGACAAATACATAACATATAGTACAGTGATAGTTTGAAGCCCAAATATAGCAGTAATCATACTAAATGTAAATAGAATGAATCCTCCAATTAAATATTGTCATTCTGGATTTATTTTTTAAAACAGCCAATCATATCCTGCTTATAAGAGATACACCTTAAATATAAGGACACAGAATATTGAAAGTAAAAGATTAGAAAAAAGTTGTAACAAAACACAGCTATATTGATATCAGAGAAAATTAAGGTTAAAAGTATTACCAGTTATTAAGAGGAACATTTTATCATGTTAAATGGTTCATTTCATCAGGAATATATAACAATTCTAAATTTATTACATCTAATAATATAGCTTCAAAATAAAAATAAAATTATTAATAATCAGTCTGTCATTCAGTCTTGGGAATTTAGAGGAAACTAAGAAGATGACTGAGAGTGAGATAAGGATCAGGTGGAGAGAAGTGTAGAAAAAGTGAGTATTCAAGGCAGAAGGAAGAACATTTGCAAAGATTGGGGATAAGACAGCTTAAAAAACTAAAAGCAATATAGTCTTGCTAGAATGTAGACTGAGAGATAAAGAGTAATGTGGCTGCATGGGAAGAGTGTTGATGGATGAGAGCAATGATTGGTAAAAGTATGCTAGAAAATATAGGAATCTTAGATATGATATTTAAAATATGAGACTACTTTTTAAAAACCAGGAAATTAGGCCGGGCGCGGTGGCTCACACCTGTAATCCTAGCTCTTGGGAGGCCGAGGCGGGCGGATTGCTCAAGGTCAGGAGTTCAAAACCAGCCTGAGCAAGAGCGAGACCCCGTCTCTACTATAAATAGAAAGAAATTAATTGGCCAATTGATATATATATAAAAAAATTAGCCGGGCATGGTGGCTCATGCCTGTAGTCCCAGCTACTCGGGGCTGAGGCAGAAGGATGCTCCGAGCCCAGGAGTTTGAGGTTGCTGTGAGCTAGGCTGACGCCACGGCACTCACTCTCTCACTCTAGCCTGGACAACAGAGCGAGACTCTGTCAAAAAAAAAAAAAAAAAAAACCAGGAAATCAGTAAAGTTTTATAGAGTGACTTGATCAGATTTCTCAAACTCTCTTACTACTATGGGAGGAATGAGTTGGAGGAGGGTGGAACTACTGGCAATGAAATCTATTTCAGTAATCCAGGTGAGATGATGTTGGCGGAGGCTGTGGAGATAGAAGGAAACACGTTTTAAAAATAAAGTGTATTGGCCAAGCGTGACGGCTCACCCCTGTAATCCTAGCACTCTGGGAGGCCAAGGCGGGTGGATGGTGAGCTCAGGAGTTCAAGACCAGCCTGAGCAAGAGCAAGACCCCGTCTCTACTAAAAAAAAGAAAGAAAGAAAGAAATTAGCTGAACTAATATCTGGTCTAAAAATATACATAGAAAAAGTTAGCCAGGCATGGTGGCGCATACCTGTAGTCCCAGCCACTAGGGAGGCTGAGGCAGTAGGATTACTTGAGCCCAGGAGTTTGAGGTTGCCATGAGCTAGGCTGAGCTGACGCCATGGCACTCTAGCCTGGGCAACAGAGTGAGACTGTGTCTCAAAAAAAAATAATAAATAAATAAATAAATAAAGTGTATCACAGCTTGTAGAATATTTAAAATTTAGGCAGGTTCACTCTTAGTTTAGTGAACAAGATATTTACTAATAGATCTAGAGGTTGTATTAAGAGAAATTTTAAGGAATGAAATTTTTTTTTCTTTATATCTTCAAAACCAACTACAAGGCAGTGTTACATTTCATTTCCAAAAATCAGGTTTTGTTAGATCACTATGGTTTGGTCATAGCCAAAGTTTGGTTGTGTTTTTGTTAGCAAAATATAAAGTTGGAGCAATTAAACTCCCTTGACTCTCTGTTTTAGAATTCCCTCCCTATTTTTCATTTTAGTTGACTTACTTAGATTTAGTAAATCTAAATAATCTGTGGGCAAATGTCCAAGTCTCTCTTTAAGAAATGTATATTGCTTTGAGTCCATTAAGCAGAATACATGTGGGTTCTCTGATCAGACACAACTTCTTAAAACATATTTATTAATATCCTTTCTTAAACATAAAATTCTGTCTGAAAAGAGAGACAATAATTCATCAAGTAATGATATTATACATTAATATAGTTGTTTTATTATCTAACTTCCTCTATTAGAATTTCTATGATGGCCAGGGACATTGTGTTTTTTGCTCAAGGCTAAATCTCCTTGTACCTAGATTGGTTCTCATCATCATATACCAGGTACTCAGCAAATATTTATTGAATGAATAAATGAATGAATGAGGAATGAAGGAAATTTATGTTAAGCAAATCAACTTCACTAAAATAAAAAAAATGTTTCTTTTCATTCTTATAAATTTATTTAATTTTCATTTAAAATGTTGAAAGTCTTATATTAAAATGTTTGAAAATAAAGTGATTATTTTTAATATTTGCAGGACTATCTCAAGCAGGTGCTGGACATTGATCTTCATGCTCAGATCCATTTTGGCAGGGTTTTTATGAAACCAGGGTATGAAAATAATCTTGTTATTTTGTATATGGGGTTGGTTTGGCTTGCTTTAACTAATAGACTTTTAAGTGTCTTCTTTTTACATTTTCTATTTATGGATTATCTATTCTATAAAAGAAATATTACAGTATTAGAATCCTTTGCACAAGTGCAACTCCTATTTGAAAAAGAAATTCATCTTCCTTATGAATCAATGAGTTTGCTATAAACAAAGCAACTTTCCAAACTTTTTTTCCTGTTTAAAGACTAGTTCCTTCTTCTTCTTTTTCTTTCTCCCCAAACTGCTTTTCTCTTTTTTTAAATAGTTTAGTATGAAAATTCACCAATATGCACAAAAGTAGGGAGTACAATGAACCACCCCCCCATTGTATACCCATTACCCAGCTTCAGTAACTATCAACATTTTTCTGTAATTGTTTTATCAATCCCTCCCCACCCCTGCTCCCCCCTACACTGTGCTTTTTTGGAAAGAGGGAGGGCTGTATTGTTTTAAAGCAAAGTCTAGACATCGTGTCATTTTAGTATATATCTCAAACAATAATAATAACAACAATATTCTCTTACATAATTACAGTAGCATTATTCATCTAACAAATAATAATACTTTAGTATCTGATCATAGTCAGATTTCTCACAAATGTCAAGAAAAAAGAATGTCTTTTTATAATTGTCTTGTTTGAATCAGAATTCAAATAAGGTCCACTCATTGTGTTTGGTTGTTAAGTCTCTATTAAATGAGAACATTTTCTCCCCATTCGCTTTTTTTTGTTATGCCATTGACTTGTTAAAGAAACTAGATTACTTGTCTTGAATGGATTTGGCTGATTGCTACCTTGAGCTGTGTTTATCTCTGGCATATTCTATAGATTGAAAGTTAGATCTAAAGGCTTAATTAGATTCAGATTCATTTTTTTCCTTTGCTAGAGTACTTCCTAAGTGAGGTTTCACACTGCTTACTGTCTCCCAGGAGGAAAGAAAAATAACCACATGCCAAGATTTTGCATATCTCCTGAAAACTAATCAGCCCTAAGGAAGGGCTAATAGAGGCCTGGAAATCAGTTGTAAATCCTCAAGAATGCCAAATGTTGGTGTTCATGAAACATATATGGCCATGTCTTTAAGCAACAGCCTGGCTGCTCAGACCTCTGCTACTCTATGAACTCTGAAACCTTTAATTCCCTGTTCAAAGACCTCACTGTATGGGTGAATGTTCCAGCACACCTCCATGTTATCAGGAACAACAATAATGATGCTTTAGTTCAGATTGTACTCTAATGGATACTCATACAAACCCTAAGAGAATGGAGTAGGGGCTTCCCAGTTGATATAAGTGAGCTATGGGGAGCATCAACAAATTCCAGAAACCTTTTAGGTGTCAAGCTAGTCTCCCTGATATCCCTGATTTATTGGGTACCTCGTATAAGTTCTGGGACAGAAAGCAAGCTTTACCTCCACAATTTGGACATTTCTAGTATAGAGTAAAAATTATCCCTAAAAGCTGTCTTTATAACTTGATAAAATTTAGAATTCTTGGCATTATATTAATATTTCTATAGTTGCCTGTTGGGTGTGCCCTTATATGGCTGCTGCTGACAAGGCTCTTTTGTTATTGAAGCTGTTAACTTTGGATCATTCTTACAAGAATAATGTTTTGTCTTAAGCAAATATTATTATGCCATGAGTATATAGGGGTTTATTTCCCCTGTCCCCATGGTCAGTACACTAATTTGGCTAGAATACAGAAGACATCCCAAAGGCATATCAATGTACTGCTCACTAACATCAAAAATTGAACTGATTGTTTAATTCAAAAGTGGAGGGAAGAAAGCTGATATTACTTGCCCTCACCTCTAGGAGAGGATTATTTGTGTAATGTCTATTATTTAAAATACTCTTAGCACCTATGATGATAATTTTTGTAGTCTTTTTTTTTATCTGTTGTTCACCACTTGCTTCAACTTTAGGAGTTCATCTGTTCCTAATGTTTAATCTCTTTCCTTGAAGTCATATCACTCTCTGACCTCAGCCTATAAATGCTGTTCTCACATTCTGATCTCCAGAGGAAAACTAAACAATAGGTGTTGAGTTCCAAGCAAATGGATTTCCCAAACTTAAACAAAAACTTCAAGGTCTAGCAATAGGACACTCATGATAGCAATAAAATATTTTGTTGTAGTGGAATCTTTTTTAAGTGAGTACCTTTAGAGAAATCGACTTTAAATACAACATAAGAAAGAAGGTATTATGCATTCCCTCCTCACTCTTATTATCTGTATTAGTTTGCTATAATAACATAGTTTAGAAGTTTAAGTGTGCTTCCTTTAATTGACCAAAATTTTATACTTATCTAAAGTAAGAAGAACTTAATGGTAATTGCTACTTAATAGTAGAACAAATAATATATATAAAGCTCAAATACAATTTAGCTTTGCTCTTTCCACATAGAATGCATTCAGAATTCAATTAAGCTCTTTCATTTTAGAGAAAAAGATTCTCAGAAAAGCATTTGGAGTATTAGCAACCAGATCTACCAATCACTATTTTTATGGGTCATCTACAATGAACATAGCTGTTACCCAGAATGTATCTTGGAAATTATTTTCATCACACAGTAATAATCACTGCCAAATAACCTATCCATAGATCAATATGACAATCTAATCTCATTTCTCTAAAATACAGCAAAGAATCTGGAAGTAAGCAAAAAAAATCCTCAACTACTCAAAATAGATGTAACAAAGTCCGTATACTAACACTTAACAGCACATCCTATGAGATCTTTATCCAAATATGAGCCATAAAATTAGAACAACCTTAATTCAAATCTTTGTTCCCCCATTTAGTAGCTGAGTGATTTTGGCCAAATTTCTTAATCTGAGTCTCAGTTTCCTCATCTATAAAATAGGACAATAATTATTACCTTGTAATCTTGTTGTGAGACTTAAATGAAATGATAGATATGATACAAATATGTTACTTTAAAAATGGTGAATTTTATTATCACTATTATTATTTTCATTTTAACAATATAACTATTACTACCACTCTCTGGTTCCCAAACCTAAAGCCAGCTTTAAGGGTTGAGCTGATAGAAGTCTGACATCACAGGGAACCACAGGGGAAAAAACTAAGGGGAAAAAAAACCAGAAACAATAACTATAGAAACACAATAATGTGGGGTTATGGTTTATAAGTGAAAACAACCCATAGTACTCTTTTGTGACCTAAGATCACTGTATTATATCACAGTAGAATATGTTAATAATGATGGCTACAAATCATCAAAAAATGTCAGTGTTACCATATTATTATAAAAAGTAGTAAGTGATCCATTTCTGAAAGATGAACCTGCAAAAAGAGTAAAAATAAAAATAATTTGGGTCCTTAAAGCAATGATTTTTCATCTATATGGAAATTTCAGCATTCACTAAGGATTCTGCATCACTTAAGTTTCATTAATATAATGAGATTTTTAGGTAAAATTCTATATAAGGGCTAATTAATGAGAAAAAATTACTATTCTCAATTGCCCACTCCCTGCATGTCAGTAACCCCTCCTATACCCCCATGATAAGAGTTCATGTCAGAATCTTGAGAAAGCATAATTTGAGAATGTTTTTCCAGTACTATTATTTTAATTTTGTTCTAGTCAATGATATTTATTTGTATATTTCAAAAATATCTCTTGATAGGAGGGAGGTTTTTTGTATATTGCTGAGGATAGTTTTAAAAGGTTAAGAAATACTCATCTTCAATAATAAGTAATTATCTGATAAACATATATTATCAGGTAGTCTTCTCATTTTTAAGAATGATTGTTATAAATCTTCAGCAAAACTAGTATACATTATTAACTAGAGGGGTGGGAAAACTCAGAAACTCTAAGATTTGGAGTCTGCGTCTATGGCACTGGCAAGAAACAAAAATAAAGAAAGAAACGAAGAAAATTAAGAAATCTGGTTACTTGCATACAGAAGATTCTAACAATAAATTTACTTAAATGCTCCTAAAATACTTCAGAGTATAAATGTTTAAAGGCAAGTTAACAGAAAAGTATTTTTTATATGATAAGTGATCTGTATAGATAGCCACATAACAAGAAAACTGGAATACTTAATTACTCATCATGTTACTTAGCATTCACTGACAAGTAACCCCTCTTTTCCCTCTAGTCTGCCAACAACATTTGCAACTTTGGATATTGATGGTGTAAGAAAAATCATCTTTGCACTACCAGGTAAGAATAATTGAAGTTGTTTCTTTTCTGGAAAAATGACCAAAATTTTTTTATACTTCTCACATGATTGATCCTCTATCTTGGAATCTGAAAGACCTGGGCTTAACTCAGCTTTACTGAGACTGTTTCCTTAACTATAAAATGGAACTAATAATTACATCATAGGATTGGTGCAAAAGTCAAATTAGATAGTATATTTCAAAGCACATTTCAAACTCTAAGATGATAATCAAATGTTAGGTGTCACTAGATTTTGCGGGGGACATCTACCTTTTCCTTATAGGAAATTGGTCAAAGTTAGCAGTCTAAACACCCCTCACAACTAAAGTATTATGCTCAAGGGGCCAATGGGCCTTGAGTCACTCGTGCAAATACTAGGTGAAAAAATACAAAGCTGCCTCTGGTTCTTGCCACATTTGGGCTGGGGTTGGCAGCCGAGTCCCACCCACCATCAGTCAACACCACCACTCCCCCCTTGCTCCCATGTGAGCAGAAACTCACATTCTCAGATTATAGAAAAAGCAACATGGTTCAGTTTCAAAGATTTTCAAATTTAGTTTTTTGTTAATTTGGGGTCATGTATTTAAATTCATTATGAATCTTGATAAATTTTAAAGCAGTTTAGAAGTTTTGAATATCTACTTTTTTTAACTTTTAAAACTATCCTCTGATAATTCTGTCTAATTCTCTATTTTTTGGCACAGATTCCTTAAGAAAATAACCTACTTATTCCTGTCAATTCACACATCTCGTGGCTTTGGGATATTTCTTTGCTTTTTGTATTAAGTAAATGTCAAATGTAAATATAAAGAAAGAGAGGCAGGAATAAAAATTTTAAATTAAAAACATTTTAAGCTCCTATCTATAAGCATAAAAGAGATTAGGTTTCTATAATGTGGGAAATGTTAAGAGAGAAGAAACATTAATAAAATAGTCCTAGGAATGTATTAGCATGAAACTCCTTAGGGCCTTTAATATTTTCTTGGATACTCTGAAAACCAGTATGTAAAGAAATGTGCTCTGCTTCCTACTTTCATTTTGCTTAAAAGAGCCTCTTCATTTTGTCTACAGAAGATATGACTTAACCCACAGATCATCAGTGACACTATAACAAAGAGTATAATTGTGGGAGCTGATTTCACTAATGAAGAGTTGTTGATCTGCCACAGAACTTATTAAACTAATAAACTATTAGTTTATTAGTTTATTTATTAAAATAATTAAAACTTATTTTCAAATTGCTACTCCAATTGGAAACTTTCTCTGCTCAGCCTGAATGAACCAAAAGAGGGCAGCAACAACTCACATGTTCAGATTGTAGAACCAAGTGGTTTTCAATTTCAAAAGTGTATTTCTGTTTTCCTGAAGGTCATGCATTTAAAGCCATCACTAATCTTGACACGTTTTAAATCAGTTTGAAAATTGTGTGTACTTACTTGCAATTTTTTTAACTTTTAAAAATTATTATAGTGACATTATAGTTCTAATGTTTGCTATAAAAAACATTAGAAAATATAGATAAAAGATTTTAAAACGTTATCAGCCAGGCATGGTGGCTCATGCCTATGATCCTAACACTTTGGGAGTCTGAGGCAGAGGACTGCTTGAGGCCAGGAGTTCATGCCCAGCCTGGGCAAAACAGTGAGACCCTGTCTCTACAAAAAATGTAAAAAGTAGCCAGGCATCCTGGTACACACCTGTAGTCCTAGGTACTAGGGAGGCTAAGCTAGGAGCATTGCTTGACCCCAGGAGTTTGAGATTGCAGTGAGCTATGATCATGCCACTGTACTCTAGCCCAGGCAATAGAGCAAGACTCTGTATAAAAAAAAAAAACCCCAAAACACCCTTTATAATTATTCAAAAAAGAGAAAAAAAAAAAAAAAAAAAAAAAAAAAAAATTATCCATAATCCTCCAGCCACTCAGAAATGACCACTGTTTACAACTTTTTGGTATCAATCCTTCCATTCTTTTTTCCTATATAAAGTAACTCATTTTTTATGCAGTAATTTCATAGGACAGTGGTATTATAGGAATTTTATAATCATTGGTGAAAAATGAGTAGGTTTTCTTGTTTGTTTTTCACTGTTCCAGAAAAATTTCTGTCTGCTTGTATTTTGAGGCTAGAGGGCAAAGGAAAGTAATTGATTCTTAATATTTTGTTTTTCTGTTGGACAACTTATTTTCTATTGAAATTATTTGTATCACTCATGTCTTTTTGCAACTTAAAAAAAATTCCTTCTTGGCTGGTCATGGTGGCTCAGCCTGTAATCCTAGCACTCTGGGAGGTCAAGACAGGAAGATCAGTTGAGCTTAGGAGTTCAAGACCAGCCTGAGCAAGAATGAGATCCCATCTCTACTAAAAATAGAAAAAATTAGTTAGGCCTGTAGTCCCAGCTACTCGGGAGGCTAAGGCAGAAGGATTGCTTGAGCCCAGGAGTTTGAGGCTGCAATGAGCTATGATGATGCCATGGCACTCTACCCCAGGTGACAGAGTAAGCCGCTGTCTCAAAAAAAAAAAAAAGAAAATTTGTTCTTAACAACTTTTGTGGGTGAAGAGAACTGAAGGTATAGTTTTAGCTAATAGGCTAAACTGACTGTGCCTTTTACTTAGATGATGCAGCAAGCAGCACTTAGCCATGCCAAGGGAACTTAAAAGGCTAAAAGCCATTTCCAACCCCCATTATATGCATACATACATACAACTGTGAGTTTGTATACAACTAAGATCCCTTCTGGTTTTAAAATTCTAATTTTGAGAAAGGATCTTGAGAATCATGTAATCTAAATTTTTCATTTTGTGGATGAGTAAAGTTAGACTCAAAAAGGGTTGCTAAGGTCACACAGCTTGGTTGGTTTAATAATGCCACACACAAAAAATCAAGTGTGTTTTTCACAGCCCACCCTTTCTCTCTTTGAAGCATGTAACACACCTAGATTTATTCTTGGAGAGGTACAGTTGAATTCTTCAAGTTCATTTTATAACTTTAAAAGAATCTGGTATTTGTGTTAGTCTGCTCAGGCTGCCATAAACAGAGTACCACAGATTGGGTGGCTTACACAACAGAAATTCAGACTTTCTGGAGGCTGGAAGTCCAAAATCAAGGTGCCAGCACAGTTGGTTTCTGATGAGGACTTTCTTCGTGGCTTACAAAGGCCTTCTTCTGACAGGCCTTTCTTGTATGACTTTCCACTGTGTCCTCACGTGGTCTTTCCTCTGCGTGCACACACTCCAAGTGCCTCTTCCTCTTTTATAGGGGCACCAGTCCTATGGGATTAGGTCCCCACTATTATTACCTCATTTACCTTAATTACCTCCTTAAAAGCCCTATCTCCAATTCAGTCACATTTGGGTTAGGGCTTTACAAGCTGAATGGGGCAGGGGAGGGGGGACACAGTCTATAACAGTATTCATCTTCATCAGTCCATAACAGTATTCATCTTCAATTCCTTAAGACACATCTTAAATCATTTGGTTTTATTTTTTTAATTTTAAAGAAATATCTGAGTAGAGAAGATTATGGATAGATTTCTTTAAGCTTATCCGTAGTTTCTAATTTTTTGGTATAAAGCTTGTATTACTGTAGTAATTTTTAAATGGTAGAAAAAAATAGCAAGTATTAATAGATATATAAAACTTCTAAATTGCTTAAAAACTTATCAAGATTAGTAATGACTTTCAATGCATGGCTCTCAAGAAAGCAGAAATAAATGGTGTTAAGCAGCTTCTGGGCATGAGAAGTCTCTGTGTTTCACTAGAAAACCGGAATGTTTCACCCTCTGTGGCATTTGGGTGACTATCCCTCTATTCTGGCATCCTGTTGGATTCAAGGTTATTCAGAAGAGGAAGACTAGTGGTTGGTCACTTCCATCATGATCTGTGATACCTGAAGATACAGACAGATGTGATTGTTTGGCAAATTTCTATGTGGTTTACTATAAATAACTGCTTGGTTGATTTTCAGGGAATCCTGTGTCAGCTGTGGTCACCTGCAATCTCTTTGTTGTGCCTGCACTGAGAAAGATGCAGGGCATCTTGGATCCTAGACCAACCATCATCAAAGCCAGGGTAATGTTTTCTAATGACTAGAAACCCAAATTAAAACCTGATAACAATTAAAGGATATGATTTTCTAACTGTCCAAAACAAACATCTACAATTTCATATTAGTTTTGATGGAAAATGTGTTTATATTCTCCCCTTTGTGATAGAAATGGTGAAGAAAGGGTCCCTTTTATTCACCTCCTGTGTGACGTCTAGGTGAATCATTTTTTCCAGGTAGAAGTCCATGTAGGAGTCCAGAGAGCAAGGTAAAAATTTGAATGGATATTTAAGGACAAAATAGTCAACAGAATGAAGCTAGCACCACCCTAACACTAGACCTATATGGAACAAGGGACAAGAATTCTCTTTTCACAATGCAAACTCATGAAGGACAGCAATTAACCTATTTACTTTTTCTGTGACCCCATTGATAAATTTTAAATAATTTAGTAAAAGACAATCAAAGGACTAGAAAGAGACCCTGGTGATTCAGTAGTAAAGGGTAACCATATTGTTTGGAAAAGGATTATTAAGGCTGAGAAATTATACTTCATTAAACGTCACTTGGAGGTCAGGTGCAGTGGCTTATGCCTGGAATCCCACCACTTTGGGAGACTGAGGTGGAAGGATCACTTGAAGCCAGGAGTTCAAGACCAACCTGGGCAACATAGCAAGTCCTCTTCTCTACAAACAGAAAATTTAGTGGCCGGGTTTGGTGGCTCATGCCTGTAATCTTAGCACTTTGGGAGGCCAACGTGGGAGGATCACGTGAGGACAGCAGTTTGAGCTCAGCCTGAGCAATACAGTGAGACCCCATCTGTACAAAAAAATTTTTTTTAAAAATCCAGGTGTGCTGAGGCACTCCTATAGTCATAGTTACTTGGGGGGCTGAGGCAGGGGGATCACTTATGCCCAGGATTTCAAGGCTGCAGTAAGCTATAATCAAGCCACTGTGCTCCAGCCTGGGTTACAGAGTGAAACCCTATCTCTAAAAACAAATTTAAAAATAAATGAACAAATAATTTTCTAAACAAATTCAAAGTCATAAAGCTTAGATGTAGATAGTCAAACCAGTAATATTGAATTTACTCATTATTTTTGTTATTTGCTAAATTAAAGAAACAAATTCACATTGCTGTACGACAAAGAGAAAGAGGCTTCTTTTGGACTTTGCAAAGCTCTTACAAATCCTTTCATTTACTTCTCATTTGAACATCTACCATCTATTCTTTAAAACTGACATTGTGGCTGCCATCCATCCTGACAACAGTGATGCGATGGTGCTCTATAATCAACTTGATGGGTGATATGTTGTTCATGGTCCTCTGTCCATTTCTTGTCAGTTCTAGATATTGAGAACTGATCCAAAAATCAGGCAAATGCCTTCCTCCTACAGCAGTGTCACTGGGACTGCCAGTATGAGTCATCAGTATTCGTGGCTATTTAATCTCTTGTTTTTAGCTCCCCAAATCGCTGACATAACTGCCACTTTAGAAGCATAAGCCTATTCACTTCCTTGAAACATAGCAAATCTTCTCTCTATCTCTGCTTCCTAACCATTCAAGATGTGGCTTACACAGTGCACTTATTACTGTTCTCCCAAATAGATGCCACTGCCATTGCCTTTACCAGTGCTTGCCACTTTGGAGCAGTGGGGTAGATGTTAAATGCTGATGTTGGTTAATCACACTGCTGGACTCTGATGTCACCATTCTGTGGGTAGGGCAATGCTGCATTATTTTTAAAATGTCAGCATATCTTCACCTGCCTCAAGGCAGAACTCTAATCTTCCCAACCTTTCCGATTGTGGGTCATAAGACACTCATTCCAGTGAGAGTCCTGCCCCATACCCTGAAGGCTAATCAGATTTCATCAATGGCTATCCATAAAAACCCAAGAGGAATAGGTTCAGAGAGCTTCCAGATAGCTTAACATGTGGAGGTTCCTGGAGCATGGTATGCCCAAGCATGGAAGCTCCACTCCCCTTCTCCCACACCTGGCTTCTTCATCTGTATCCTCTGTAATATTCTTTATAATATGCCAGTAAACACACACAAAAAAATTTTAAATCATAAAGTCAGCACAGAAAATGTCATCCTTTTATATCAGAGCATTCAGAAGAGCATCAGTTTAGAATAGACATGTCCCTTATTTCCTTAGTTGCTTATGGTTGAAGTTGAAATGCTTTTGATTTTCAGTACACAATCAGAAATACAATCCTAGTAATTCATCAAATAGAATTATTGACCTAAGGTTTCCACATAAGGACATCCTATCATGTGTTTCCTTAATATCCCATCAAAACACCTTGTACTGCTCTTGTTCTCAACACTTTTCTCTAATAACTTACCTGAAGTAACTCCCATTAGTATTAACAACTCAGGCAGTGATTAAGAGATGGAGAAGGGAAAAGCATGTTCTAGAAGATGGCCAACTAGAACCCCCTTGTGCTCCTCTCCCTCACAAAGAAGCCAGAACAGCAAATAAACAACTACATTTTAAAGAAAATAACTGAGGGAGAGCAGCAAAGTGTATCAGAAATCCCGGTGAGCACAAACTCAGCATAGCCACATGAAATGGAAGGAAACACCAGGCCTCCACCATCTCCTCCTCCAACCAGGATCAGCTGGAAACCAGGAGGAACTTCTATCTATGGCAAGGAGGTATAACTGACCCATGCCAACTTGTATAAGGATTTTTAAGTTATGTAATAAGTTTTAGACAGATGATTTAACAGGGCTAAGTATGCTCAAGGCTTTCTCTTATATACTAATGAAAACAGTGCCTTATAACTTTTATAGTACTTTTCAAAGTTAGTGTAATAAAGCTCTTTTGAGCACTCTTTGGAAGCTCCAAGTAGCCTGTAACAGAGGCCAGGCCTCTAGTACCATCCAGGGGCTCAAATGTGTCATCCTGGGCCTCCACTCAAAATAGAATCCACTTTGGTCATCTGTTTTCTCACAGGCTCTTTCTTCACTATACTATGAACTCTTAGTTCTAACCTGTTCCTCTGAATCTTCTGGAGCATTCAGCTCCTCATCACTGCCATCAAACCTTCTGGAGACCATTTTATATTTAGAGCACTTTTAGGTTCTCAGCAAAATTGAGCAGAAAGAACAGAGAGATCCCACATGCCCCTGTCCCCTCCACACACACAACCTCCCCTGCTACCAACATCCTGTACTGAGTAGTACATGTGTTACAGACGATGAACCTGAGTTACAACATCACCCAAAGTCCATCATTTACATTAGGATTCACCTCTCAGTAGTGTATGTCCTATTTTGACAAATGGATAATGACATTTATCTACCATTGTAGTATCATACAGAATAGTTTCACTGCCCTAAAAATCCTCTGTGTTCTTCTTATTCATCTCTCTTTCCCTCCTAACTCCTGCCAACCACTGCTCATTTTATTGTCTCCATAGTGTTGCCTTTTTCAGAATGTCCTATATTAATAGTTAGAATCATTCAGTATGTAGCGTTTTCGCATTAACTTCTTTCACTTAGTAATATGCATTCCATGTCTTTTCACAGTTTGATAACTCATTTCTTTTTACTGCTGAATAATATTTCATTGTGTGTATGTACTACAATTAGGAACAAAGTGCTCCAAACATCCGTGGTGCAAGTTTTTATGTGGATATAAGCTTTCACTTCATTTGGGTAAATGCTGGTTCACATGGTAAGAGTATGAAACTGCCTGTCTTCCAAAGTGGCAATACCATTCTGCATTGCCACCAGCAATAAATAAGAGTTCCTGATGCTCTACATCCTTGTCAGCATTTGGTGTTGTCAGTGTTTTAGATTTTGGCCATTCTAACAGGTATGTAGTGGTATCTTGTTGTTTAAATTTGCAATTCCCTAATGATCTATCATGTTGAACATCTTTTTTTTTTTTTTTGAGACAAAGAGTCTTGCTCTGTCGCCCCAGCTAGAGTACAGTGGCATCATCATAGCTCACTGCAACCTCAAACTCCTAGGCTCAAACGATTCTCCTGCCTCAGCTTCGCGAGTAGCCAGGACTATGGCGTACACTACCACACTCAGCTAATTTTTCTGTTTTTTGTAGAGACAGGGTGTCACTCTTGCTCAGGCTGGCCTTGAACTCCTGAGCTCAAATAATCCTCCTGCTTGGCCTCCCAGACTACTAGGATTACAGACATGAGCTACACTGCTGGCCTTGAACATCTTTTCATTTGCTTATTTGCCATCTGTATATCTTCTTTGTGAGATGTCTGTTCAGGTCTTTTGCCCATATTTTAAATTGGATTGTTCATTTTGTTATTATTGAGTTTTAAGAATTTGTTGTATATACAGATATACAAAGTCCCTTATCAGATGTATCTTTTGCAAATATTCTCTCAGTCTGTGGCATATTTTCATATTTTTCTGCTTTTTTTTTTTTTAGCTAATTTTCTTCTCCCTTGGACATTTACATATAGACCATACCATATATTACTATAGCAAATTATACAATTTTATCTCAATTGACTACTATGTACCTGGCAAAATATTCAACAAACAGAAGAAACAGGCCTAGTCCACAGCATACTACTCAATTTTGAATGAATAAAAGGAATCATCAGAAGTGAAACATCAATCATTTGCAATGTTTTTTTTTTGTTTTTTTTTTTTTTGAGACAGAGTCTCGCTTTGTTGCCCAGGCTACAGTGAGTGCCGTGGCGTCAGCCTAGCTCACAGCAACCTCAAACTCCTGGGCTCGAGTGATCCTTCTGCCTCAGCCTCCCGGGTAGCTGGGACTACAGGCATGCACCACCATGCCCGGCTAATTTTTTATATATATATCAGTTGGCCAATTAATTTCTTTCTATTTATAGTAGAGACGGGGTCTCGCTCTTGCTCAGGCTGGTTTCGAACTCCTGACCTTGAGCAATCCGCCCGTCTCGGCCTCCCAAGAGCTAGGATTACAGGCGTGAGCCACAGCGCCCGGCCTCATTTGCAATGTTTTATTCACCAAAATGTGTATGTCTATGTTTATCCAAGGTGCATCATTCTTTTAAGCAATGAAGCTCATAAAAGCTCAAAGTAAACAGGTGCTTTCTTAAGCTAACATGTCATGGAAGTCATGTACAGAACTATTATAATGTTGATACAAATAAGTATATGGGTTAATAAAGCATTCTGCATTTTAGTAAAATACCCAAAATATCTAGTGAGTTTCATCTCTAACTGCAAAAGAGACTAGAAAAAAATCTTAGTAGCCGGGCACGGTGGCTCACGCCTGTAATCCTAGCACTCTGGGAGGCCGAGGCGGGCGGATTGCTCGAGGTCAGGAGTTCGGAACCAGCATGAGCAAGAGCGAGACCCCATCTCTACTAAAAATACAAAGAAATTAATTGGCCAACTAATATATATAGAAAAAATTAGCTGGGCATGGTGGCACATGCCTGTAGTCCCAGCTACTCGGGAGGCTGAGGCAGCAGGATCGCTTGAGCCCAGGAGTTTCAGGTTGCTGTGAGCTAGGCTGACGCCATGGCACTCACTATAGCCGGGGCAACAAAGTGAGACTCTGTCTCAAAAAAAAAAAAAAATCTTAGTCACTTCAATTTGAAGCAGTTGATTCTTGTTTCTTAAATTTATATAAACATCTTCCTTTAAACAAATAATCATTTTTAAATTGGTAGAAAAATAACAGTTTAAAAATCTTAGGATCATAAAGCTTGGAGACACTTTAACCTTTGTGTAATATAACCCAGTTTTGTAGATGAACAAATAGGTTTGGGAAAGCAAAATAACTTGCTAATATATTAATAGCACACCAGTTAGCAGTAAAGCTGGGAGTAGAACCTAGGTGTCTGATACCATCCCAAATTACACTTATTCCACTATACTACCATAAACCAATCAGTACAATTTCTAGGGGAAAAACCTTGCTGAAACATTAGCAAATAAAACTGTCATGTGAGTAGCCCTTGTAGTTTAGTACTGAAGAACACATACACACACACACGTACACACAGAGATTATATTAATAAGAGAGAAAAAGAGATTTGCCCTAAGATACGCACAAAAGTATTTAGGAATAATAGCAAGTTATCCTATCAGTAGCTAAGAGTATAAATATAAGCAATATCAAATGAAAGACTTCTGTCTAATTTATTCAAGGAAAGAAACACTAAAATTGAATTTTATTCTGGATTCCAGAGGAAAAGCACATGATGTGACTAAACCAAAATGGCATAACTTTTAGTAGAGACTACTTTTATTTGCCTTAATGGGATTGTATATCAGTATTAGGACTCTAGGAGCACATATTCAATGGAAAAAGAAAGTACTTAATCCCTTTTATGTTGAAGATGGGTATATGAATGAGTAGCTAAATAGTGCCTACCACATATTAGGTTCTCAGTAAATATTTAATACATGTATAGACATATGGAAGGAGGGAGGCAGGGAGGTTGGAAGAATGGATATTAAATTTGTTTCTTTAGGTCTGCCTCTTTATTTTCAGTGTTAAGATATCTGCTTCAATTTCTCAATTTATAGGTCAAAGACCAGTAGGTTCTCACAACCCATAAAAAGATACTCCAAAAATAGACTTTATCTTTTTCATCTCTCCTTTTCCCCACTATGAACACCAGCTTCTTAGCCTTCTTTTCTTTTTTCACCAGAGCAACCCAACTCCTAGACTTCCTGTATTAAGAACATAAGGTGGCAATTATGGAAGTAGCAGAATACAAAAGATATTTTTCATGTCTACCATATTCTTACATAACCTCTACCACCCTGTAGTTTTAAGAGATGATCAGGTGACCCAATTTGTTTTCTTTTTCTCTTTATTCTGTAGTTATCATGTGATGTAAAACTGGATCCTCGGCCAGAATACCATCGGTGTATACTGACTTGGCATCACCAAGAACCACTGCCTTGGGCACAGAGTACAGGTTAGTCATTCACATCTACAAGTATCCCCTATGTACCCATCCTGTTAAAACACAAATTTATATATAATAGTCTTCCTTGGTTATAACTAATTTTGTAATTAATGTAAATTTTTCTTTTTGAAAGGTTAGATACATTAAATTGCACCTAAACAGTACAGCATAACAGGACAAGAGTAAAAAAAAATTAACAGAAGTTTAGTTATCTCATTGAGCCATTTTTCTAGATAAATATTTGAAATATAAATCTAGAATTACAGAAGATTTTGATCTGTTTGTTCAACCAATAAGTTCTGTACATAATGCCGGTTGTAGAAAAAGGAGAGGATTGTGGCTATGCCACCTTGTAATGTGAGATTAAAGCCCAATTTATAATGGGATTCTCTGTAGCCTTTACTATACTGTAGATATTGGTAAACTTTAAGGGCAGAGAAATCAATATTGATAATTCAGAGTTCTATAGGTACCTCCTCTAGATTTTAAAGTTTTATCCCCAACTTCTCTAGTCATATCTTTCCCAACTTTTGATTCAACTGCAGAAAAACTATATTTTTTCTGATCCTATCAAATGAAAACAAAGATCCTATCAGATGAAAACATCAACTAACATAGTGACTAAGTACATGGGCTTTGCTATCAGAGAGACCTGCATGCAAATTGGCTATCACTTAGTTATCTAAGACTCACTGGTAAGTCTTGTGAGAATCAAATAAAATAGTTAATGCAAAGTGCCTAGTACCTTGTCTGGCACTTTAGCAAAGAAATGATAGCTGCTACCATTATTATTTTAATGGATTTAAAAAGCCTCTTTTTTTTTCAGACACACGTTACATTTAAGCCTGAATTGAAAAATTCTGTGGCATTTTACATAATTCTATAAAAGCCTGGTTTTATTCTTTTAAGCAAGAATTTATAATATTCACTTTAAAAGTTTTAGTGACAAGGTGGTAGGATATAGTAGTGTGGCCTCTTAAAAAGGTACTAGGAAGTCTAATCATCTCTCCTCCTCTTGAAGCCCTGTAATTTTGTCAGTTTTCATCTTGAAAATGTCTACAAGGGCTCGAAATGTATATGCCATAATGCTTATGCTGCCGTAATGAGAGTATTTCCTTCTAGGTAATCAGATGAGCAGCCGTCTGATGAGCATGCGCAGTGCCAATGGATTGTTGATGCTACCTCCAAAGACAGAGCAGTACGTCGAGCTCCACAAAGGCGAGGTGGTGGACGTCATGGTCATTGGACGGCTATGATGGTCACCAGAAGGAGAAAGCTTTGATGCATGTCCACATATCATTGACTGTATCCTGTAATATGCAACGGCACAGCTAGTTTTTCTGATTTGGATAAAAGTTGATCTGTATAGTCAACATCTTGAACTATATTTCAAATCAATTTAAATACCTTTTAAAGAAAAAAAAATCTAAAAATAAATCTTAACAGACAACTCTATTCTGATTATATCAAAGCAAATTTTTCCTTTCTTGCAAATTGCTTTGTGTGTTCAATGCTAGGTCTGATAGCGATAGCTTTTAGTAGACAGCGGTAGGTGCCTGCAGAACTTGTGTTTTTCCTCATCTTTAAAATACAACTACTTATGCTCTTAAATCAAGGCTGTCTGCTTATTTATACTAGCGTAGGCAACACTTGGATTTCCCTTAGTATGCTTCATAACTGCTTTACAGAGAGCTTTTGCTTGTTCTTTATCATGTATCTCGTGTTTATGTGCACAGTGCCAAAAGAAGACTAACAGGGTGGAGGCCCTGCCCTGCCTCAAGAACCACACCCTGCGGAGCGTCCAGGGAGGTTTCTTACCCTAGTAGCCTCACGGCACAGTACTCTTGGGCAGTATCTGGATACCTTTTATTTGAACAAACAAACTGAAGAAAAAATGCTTCCTTAAGTGCTGACAGCCTTTTTAACCAATACCTTTAAAATTGTACAGAACAAAAAAATAAAATCAAAGACTGATCTTGTACAGATATTAGTGTTACCAGCATTCATGTGAAAATCAAGAGCAAAGACAAAATAATGTTAAACAACTCTGTACCATAACATTTTCTGTAATGATACTGAAACTTAATGAATAAAAAAAAAATCCTTGATCATTATTTAAAAATGTATTGTGTTGGCCTTGTTATTAAAAAAGGAAAATGGGGTTCCATTCTGATGTTGTTCTACTTGGATAAAATGTATAGTTAAGATGGCCTACCAATGTTAAATGGTATAAAGGAGATTTAAAATATGATATAATGTAACGCTATGTCTTATATAATGTTTGGAAAAAATAACATTTTGATCTATAATGTTGTGAAAATACAGATTAGAAAGTAAGAGAACCTGCAGTTGGTCTGGTCTAGAAAATAGCAAACAATATTAGAGGAAGTACATTTAATGACTAGAAAAAAATTAATTCTTATTTTAGATGCTATAAAAGCAAATTTCAGATCTACAGTTTTTAGAACAGAGGAAAAAAATAAGTAAGCAACCAGAAGCTTATAGATGAATACCTGGACATTTTTTTTTATTACGTTAGGAAGTGAGAAATGGGGAAAATATGTGCTGACCATAGAATATATTAATATAACAAATAAAATATACTCTCTACACAATGATTCCTTTACTATAAATTTACAGGCACTTTTCAAATGGTGGTAACAGGGAGATGTTAAATATGCTGTAAAATGTGTTTAGTAAAGCAAATTTCAAAATTGGCCTACCAGTAAACAAGGTACCAAATGATGGTAACAAAGGCAAGTAGTAAAAAAATATTTGATACAGATATTTGATATTTCCAGAGTTGAAAATAAAATCTTATATTTTAAATTTTCTTTTGTATTTATTATTGAAGAAATTAAGTTTAGTTAATAGAGGTCAAATGAAAGAGTATGCAAAGAATCCTTTATATTCATTCAAGAAATATTTATTAAACAACTACTATGTACTTGGTTACAACATATGTCATGCTACTATTTATAAAGATGAATAGGGCAAGGGACCCAACATTATACTCCATCAGGAGATTTTTAAAAATATATGCAAGTAGCCTTAATATTTAATATATTTATAAAATATTAATATTTAATATATTGATATTTGATAATACAGGGTAGAGTATATAGAATATCATAAATGCCACAATTCAGATTTAAAGGTTGGAGAAGTTCAAATGAGAACTTCCTACAAGGTAAGATTTCAAGGGGTAGATCGCATTTTAGTGGATCTTGAAGGAAGGATAAAATTTTGAAGATGGTGGCACAGGAAGAAGGATATTAAAAAAACAGAATTATAGACAATTAGTAATAATTATTTTATTATAGAACAAATAATTATAGAATAAATAATTCTTATATTGTAATATAAGAATAACAATGTTTATAGGGTCGTTATGAAAATTAAACATATGAAATGTGCTTAGAACAGCACCTGGCACATAGTAAGCTCCACAAAGGTGGGGATTTTTATTAATATTGTTAATCGACATTATCCCCAAGTCCTTAGAAGAATTCCTGGTATATGTGCATATGTGTAAGCATCAGCAAATATTTATGCAATAAAACACATTATGTAGAGCTTACTGTATGCCAGGTATTATTCTAAGCACTTTCCATATGTTTAATTTTCACATTGTTATTCCTATATTACAGGTGAAGAAATGAGGCACAGAAAGATTAAGAAACTTGTCCATAGTCTCACAGATAGTATAGAAAAAAAGTAAGGATTGAAACTTAACAATATGGACTCTTAAACACTAAGCCATAGAAACAGAAAATTGATACGTTTGTAAGACTGAAAAGTACTTATTTAAGGCCCAAACTATAAAGTTTTTAAATACCAATTTAAGAAGTTTAGATTTATTCTAAAGACAATAAAACTGTTAGAGATTCTTGATTAGGGTAGTGTCATAATGACAATTATCTTTTTAGGGAAAGTAACTCTGACAGCATTGAGTAGCATAGATTTAGACTGGAGAGAAACTGGAGTGAGAGATATCAGCTAAGAAGTGGTTGTATAGATGAGGTAGGGGTGATGGTTATGGGAAAGTCAGGATAGATGAATAAGTCAGAAAAAATGGATTTTGTGGAAGAGCTGACAGCTTTGGGCATGTGTTTGAGATTCCAGTTTACTAAGGTATATGTGTCCTGTTGGTATTTGAAAGTACAGGGTAGGAGTTCACAAAAGATTCAAACTTGGCTGGACACAACTTTGAGAATCATCACATATAGGTGATATTTGAAATGTAAGGTTGGATGGAAAAGATTATAAAGGAAAGCCTTGCCAAGAAAAAAGGACAGGGCCTTGGGGTGTTAGAGGAAAAAGCAATGAATGGAATGAGAGGAAGAGAAGTTTGCAGAAGAGAATAAAAGGCATGCAGGGTCCCATAAACCAAGGAGGAAGGATAATCAACTGTCATATGCAAAAGAAATATCAAGAATAACAAAGGTTGAAAAAGACCTATTGATCAGGCAATTATTTGTGAATTGTAAGAGTGCAATTTCAGTAGTGGTTGAAAGCAAAAGCTACATTGCAAAGTAGAAACTTGAGTGTGAATTCTTTGCAACTTGTGCATGAGAAAAGAAAGATATGCACAAGATGGTAGCTTGAAGTGATTAACAAGATAGAGGAAAGATTTTTGCTTGTGGGTTTTGCAAATGGAGAAATAATAGTTGTGGGCATATTAAAAATGCAAAAGTAGGGTCCTAAATTGGAGAAAGACAAGGAAAGGAGCTGGATTTAAGGACCCTTAAAAAAGGGATATTTTTTTCCTTCTGAGATAGAAAAGGGAAAAGATATGAATACATTTGAAGTGAATACAAGGGATTTATTTTTAAAAGGTTCAGTGAAATGGTTCTACTTAGAACACTGGACATCAGTGTCATCTAATCTATTTGCATTTATTTGACCAAAATTATTTAAGAATTAAGCATATATGATATACTATAAGTCTTCTTTGTCTTAGTAGTGATTCATAAAAGACTATAGATGTGTAGAAGCTAAGCAATTCCTTTTAACCATATTTTTTGGCTCTATGTTTTGGTTACTTCAACCATATCCACAATGAAAAAAAGAACATAAACGGATTAAATTTACCAACTAAATGAAATGCCTGGCAATGTTGCATGTTACAATAAGTGGATTCTTTGGATTGCTTTCGTTTTTAAAATTATTTGCTAACCAACAAAACTTTGTAGATCTAACCTATTACCAACTCTTGATCTTTATGAAACCCTAACAAGGTAAGTCATTATCATTCCCAATTATAGAAAGTGGGGGGTTATGTAAGTATAGAATTCAAAGCATATAAACTGTGTATCATATTATTTCAAAGATGATGGGTCTAGATTAAATAATGCATTGCATTCTAACATTTATAAAACATATTATACTTGACTGTCTAAGAGTGTTATATTGTTTCAGAGTTCATCAATAACTTGGCCTAGAACCAAAAGGTTAGAGAATTGTTCAATCCTGGCCATCTTGTATGGTCATTTACCAATATTTCTCCTGTAGTCTTTTGTAATAATTCAATTTATTTATCAAGCTCCTACAGTATGTCAGGCTGCATGCTAGGCACTGAGGATACAATGATGAATGAGACAAAATCTCTGATATCCAAGTGGAGGAGATAGATTATGAGAAAGGAAAAAAAATTAAATACAGATTAGGAAAAGTCTATAAAGAAAATCCAATGACATGTTAGAGAGTGACTGAGTGGAGGCCTAAATCAGATTCAGTGGGTGTGTCAAGATCCAGTCATCTTTAAAAAGGCAGAAATCAACTATTTCAATAGAGAGACTTCAGTGTAAGAATAAGTTACATAGGTGCTGGAGGCCTGGAAAAGCACAAAGGAAACACTGAAATATCAGAGACTGGAGAAAGCAACTACCACAACTAGGGCTGGGGGGTTGGGATGAAGAGGTTGGGGGAATAGACTGCAGAAGCTCAAAGGTCAGATCCTTTGGAGCTAGGACTCTGCCCTCTAAGGAGAGGGCACTGCCCAGCTGCTGACTCTGAGAGTGAAGAAAAAGAAATGCAAGCTAGAACTGATTGCTGTTGCCAGAGCAACACTGACAGAAACAACAATTCAGTGGGAAGGAATTCTTTCTTCTCTCCTGCTTTCCAAGCTCCCTCAAGTCTAGTGCAACCTATTGTTGAACCTAACAGAAAGCCAGCTGGAGAAAGAAATGTAGTTTGCAGAATTGCAGCCCCAGCATTACAAGGCAGAATATACAATGGTGGCTTTGGGGCTGAGACAATCACTTATCAATTGATTAAGAAAGGGCTCTCTACTCAGATGACATTTGAGCTGTGTTCTGAAAAGTGAAAATAAGCCCCACATGTGAAAAGTTGGGAGAGGAGCATTTCAGACAGAGGAAAGGGCTTGAATTCAATGTCAGAAAGGAGACAGAAGTATGATGGGGAGCAGGGGAAGTGGTCTGAAATATAGCTGGAGAGAACTGAAGCCAAGATGGAGCCAGATCCTGCTCACAAACACATAGACATACTAAATATATACACACACCTTATGACATACGTCACATATTCTAAGAGCATTGGGAAGCCACTGAAGGTTTAAAAAAGCAAAAAGTTATTTATTAATACTAAACAGCAGTTGAAGACAAGGCACCACGCTAAACCAGGGTTCCTGCAAACAAGCACCTCATTCTCTTCGCCTCCTACACCTGTTCCTCTGCCCATGTTGTTTCCTGGTTAATGGCACCATCATTCACCCACTTTCCCAAACGAGAAATCTTTGAGTCATCTTACTTCTAACTGCCCACATCCAATGAGTCACCAAATTCTCTCAATGCTACTAAAAGTTCCTAAATTAACCCCTTCCTTTCCATTCCTACTGCCATTGCCTTGGGCTCTGTGCAGAACTGCCCTCCCCAAATCTATCCTTCACACTACTATCAGAATGATCAATCCAGAACATACCTCTCCCCATGTGGAACTCTATCAGAAAACCACTGCAGCAGATGGGGTCCCACCATCGAGTTATGGCATTCAAAGCCCTCCACAATCTAGTCTCTCCCTCCCAGCTTCATTTTTTTCTCCCCTCCAACTTTATGTAACCTCAGACCATTTGCAGTTACTCCCTCTAACCCTGTCATTTTATGCCTTCAGTGCCTTTGCTCAAGCTGGCTAATCTTTGGCAATTTAGCTTGGACATTAACTGCTCTAGGAAGCCTTCCCTAAGTCCCCAGATTGGACAGAATGCCCTTCATCTATGTTCCCAAAGTCCTCTGGGCACCTCTCTATCTTATCACTGCATCACACTGAAATAATCTGTTTTACGCAACCCCTTCTCCACTTGATGGTAAGTTTCTTGAGTGCAGAGATTGTTCATCTCTGTAGCCCAGCATGGCATGGTGCCCAGTTAAGTAGTAGGTACCTATTACTGAACTGACCAATAAAACTGATCTTGCATAGCACTCACCAGGGAGTCAGAGACCAAATGTGGTAGGAAACCTTCATATCCCAAGCTTAGAACACAAGCTGAGAGGACCCCATGCAGGTATGCACAAGCAGGCCCACCTTGAGGGGCAAGGACAAAAGGCTAATTGAGCATGGACTTCACTTTGACAAAGTGCCTCAAATTCAGACTTATGACATCTCCAAATGAAGTTATACATACAGTTTTGTATTTTGTGCATCTTAAAAAGCATTAATATTTTAAAGGTAAATATTTAAAATATGCCACGATTTTTATTTCCCTCTTTTGGTATTTCTTCACTTTTTAATATAATAGTAGCCTCAAAAAAAAAAAAATGGAAGTGAGATGATACCAAAGGGCATCATCAGATGGTATCTTTGTACCACAGAATTAATATCATCAACACTGAAGAGATAAAATCAGATTTATGCAAAAATGTTTCCTGGCCCTGGGGAAAGAACAACAGGAACATGACAAGTGGTGATCATGCAATAAATATACCGAATGAAGAAATAGATGACTAGAAACTTAGTCAATGGTACTAGAGGTATGACTAAAGAAAGAATTTGTCCATCTGAAAGGGAAAACAGAGCATCAAAGGCAAAAAAAAACCAGGGAAACCCATCAGGCCTGCACAGAAGGAGGCTGCTCTTGCCTGCACACCGCGCCAGTTACAGGCATTGAGCTATCACCAGAGCCTGATACCATGAAACACTCAAGCTAGCACAACCAGCCCTCAGCTGTGTTTCTAAGCAGTGTCACCCTCTAAGAATGCTATTCTTTTTAAGCTTTTCTTCAGAGGCTCAACATGCCTTAAATATGTTTAAATCTCTGAAAATTAGGACATAAGGAGATTGATAAATTATTAATTGAATGATAAATGATAAAAAGTATTTTCAACTTTTGCAGTATGACATCTTTTCCATGATTATGCTATTGCTAAATTGACTTTTCTCTCCAAGGAAGCCTCTGAGAACTTCACATCACCACCCAACTCCAGCTCCCCAGGTGTCTGGGCTCCACAGGAATGCTGGCCACACTTCATCTCAGTGGTGGGGCTGCGAGGTTGCTCCCTCCTGGCGAGGTTGCTCCCTCCTGGCGAGGTTGCTCCCTCCTGGCGAGGTTGCTCCCTCCTGGCGAGGTTGCTCCCTCCTGGCGCTCTTCTCTTACTTCAGAGGCTATGTCAGCACATGACGATTATGATGCAGGAGCCCTAGAACAATGCCAGAGCTGCCTGACCTGCGCTTCTTTTCACTAAGTGGTTAGTTGCCTGCCAGGTAGACATAAACACCTTCTGCTAAAGAAATGTGAAAAGAGCGGAAACGTGCTATTTGGAGATTGTTCTCCTAATTGACATCCAGGAGATCTCCAGAGATCTATTTCAGCCTCACCTCTAGGTAAGTGACTGCCTGGTTACTGCAACTGAGGTGTATACCTAAGGGAGAAGGAAATGGATAGTTCAACTAATTCTGATAATTCAAGGGCAAAATGTCTATTTTTTTTCCCATCTTTCTCTTTTCTTTCTACTTTAATTTCTTGTACCTCAACTAAAACAAGCAGAAAATCAGAGAGACTTACCACCTGGTAACTGGATTTCTTTTCCTCAGAAATAATTTAATTGAGAGTTCGAGTTTGAAATGAAAGCCTGTTTTCTGGATTATTTTAAAATTTTGATTTTTCAAACTGTTATCCCAATTTTCTTCCGTAAGTGACTGAAAGTTGCATGAATTTATGGTAAGATCGTCATTTGTAGTTATTGAAATGGGAGAGAAGAGCTAGAACACAAGGCTTTCTGTTCAAAGCTGAAAGGTTGGGCTGGAGGTATGATTGTCAAAAGAGGGGGCCACAACAGTCAGACCTTCTCAGAGGTGCAATCAGAATTGCAACCTACAATTGTAATAGACCTATGCAAAAAATACATTTATTAGTGTGGTAGGAATCTCAGGAAAAAGTCATCTAGGTAAATGCTATACTTCAGCGTGCTATGAAGAATTAACCTCAAAGTACTAAGTTTCACAGAGAACAACTTTAATGAGTCATGAATAAATGCCATCATTTTAAGAACTATCATGTAATTACAGACAAAAACCAACACAGTTAAAAGAAAAAGGCCACATGAGAATCTAGGTGGTGGCTATATGGATGTTCGCTATAGAATTCTTTCAACTTTGCCATGGTTTTGAAATTTTTTTATAATAAAATATTGTGGGGAGAGAGACCAGATTGGAATGGTAAATAGCAAACATTTATAGAGAACATTTTAAAGTTATGTATAGATATCCCTCTGAATTAGACAGTCAGAAAAGCCAACTGAAACACTTCATGCTGGCTCCACAGACTCCCACTCCCCCCTACCCAATTTCCATTAACACTCAAGCTGTCACATTTCCAAAAAATTCCAGATGACTGCATTTATCCCTGGGAAAATACAAGATACTTCACCACCACCACAGGGTGAACATACCCCAAATTCATATCTGAAAACAGTAGTTCTCAGCCCTAATGGGGGCATCGATCATCTTTGAAACAGTATACACAGATGGGGACATCCTGGGGACATCACGGAAAGCCTAGAGCAAAGCTGAAGTAGCTCCACTCCTGAAATGTATACAGGTCATGGCTTCTCTGTGCTTAGCTTCCCTGCTGAATAGCTGGCATTGGTTTTTGATCTACAATCAGATTTAAAATGGAATCTTTCTACCTTTTCTTTTACTAAAAGTAGCCAACAATGCTTTTTCCAATGAAAATTACACTATAATTCTGCAGAAAAGTACAACCTGATTTAACTATCTGCTGAATTAATCTCCATTCAATTGGAACTGGAAAAACAGAGAAAAACAATTAAGGTGGAGCATGGTGGCTCACTGGCACTCTGGGAGGCCGAGGCAGAATGATCACTTAAGCTCAGGAGTTCAAGACTAGTCTGAGCAAGAACGAGATCCTGTCTCTACTAAAAATAGAAAAAAATTAGCTGGCAAGTAAAAATAGAAAATTAGCTAGGCATGGTGGTGCACATCTGTAGTCCCAGCTACTCAGAATGCTGAGGAAGGAGGATTGCTTGAGCCCAGGAGTTTGAGGTTGCTATGAGCTAGGCTGACGCCATTGCACTCTAGCTTGGGTGATAGAGCGAGACTCTGTTTCAGAAAAGAGAGAGAGAAAGAAAGAAAGCACTAGTTAAAAGGAAATATATAAAGGACTCTAAGGGATCTGCTAGTGATAGGCTAAGTTAGGGACCGTCTCAAATGCCATTTGAGTCCACATTTCATCCTTGCTCTGCAGCACAGTGAAGTCTTACAATATTGCTCTGCATCTTGCTTGCTTAACTAGATGTGTAAGACATTGAGTGGATCTAGCAAAAGGCTTAAATTATTGGAAAAATATAAACTATCATTGTCAAAATTAATACACCATCCTGGTAGAACAAATTATAACAAAAATTCCCTGCATCTGTGAAATGTGTTTCCACAATGTCCAACAGCAAGTCTGCTTTCCTTTTCTGCTTTAATTCACATATTCACTCAACATGTATTTATTGTAATTATATTCTATATACATTAATAAGCCTTTTAATATGATTAATCTCTTTTTAATACTAAAATTTACTTTTTATTTATGAGTTCTATATTATAGGCCTCAACTGTACATGTAATATTAATAAGTAAGATAGTATGAAATTTCATAAAGAATTTACATAAACCAATTTTGTTTTATTGTTCACATAGAATCTACTAATGTACAGCTTATTAATAAGAATAACATTCTTGAAAATTTTACTTGCAACATCTCTCTGCTCTGACTTCTCATCATCAAGGCTGTGGTCATATCATTCCCTCTGAAATGTGATGGTCACAGGATGATGCAAGATAGACGTAGAAGCACTATTCATGTTTTTCATTTAGCCTTATTAAAAATGTATTCATGGATAATGGTGAAATGTTCTAAAGTTAGAGTCTGGCAATGATTGCATGACTCTCTAATGATCATTGAATTGTACCGTTTAAATGCATGAACTTGACGGTATGTAAATTATATCTCATTAAAGCTGTTTTAAAAACTGATCTATGGATAAAATTATTAGGAAAACGAAACTATCTGTAACATTCCAGCCCACACATATTAGTTATTTTGCATTACCAAATTAGTAACAATATCTCAGTAAGGTTGTTCATTGGATAAGAGGGTGGAGGCTGAGCTGGTTGTTGGGCTGCTCTTCTATGCTCCCCACCAAGAAGGCACAGCAGATTCAAGGAACTTATCAGAGTGAGAACCCCAAATCCATCTGCTTCTTTTTAAAAGAAAATCATTTCTCAATCATCAGTTTAACCATTGGGAACAATTAATTTTGGCAGATCTTACATAAGATTATGATGTTCCAAATAGCTCCACACCATGATTGATTAACTATTTTTTAAAATATTTAATGTTATGGGGAAATATTAACATATATTATATAAGTGGCTGAGTACGGTGGCTTATACCTGTAATCCTAGCACTCTGGGAGTCTGAGGTGGAAGGATCACTTGAGCTCAGGAGTTCAAGACCAGCCTAGGCAAAAGCAAGACCCCATCTCTACTAAAAATATTATAGAAAAAAGTTAGCTGGGTAGGGGGGTGCACACCTATGGTCTCAGCTACTCAGGAGGCTGAGGCAGGAGGATCACTGGAGCCCAGGAGTTTGAGGTTGCAGTGAGCTATGATGATGCCACTGCCCTCTAGCCAAGGTGACAGAGTAAGACTGCCTCAAAAAAGAAATTAAGTGAAAAATATATTTGTAAAAAATAGGAGGACATATACTGAAACTTTACTACTGTCTCCCAGTATTAAGAGTGAACCTAGTAAATTGTTAATTTAATGGCTAATTTAATGATTGAATTTTGGACCACTGGCAAAGTATGTGGAGTTGTGTGTGTGTATGTGTGTGTGGCCAAAATTGGTTTCATAGAACTATTCATCTGCTTTAAGAAAAATGCAGTCTCAATTAACTAGGATAATTGGAGAGGTTGAGGGAAGTATAGTATACAGATAATCTCAAATCACAGTTATACAGATCTAGTCAAAATTCACCACACATTTACTATCTATACACATAATCCAAAAGTGTCAAAATCATTCCAGAACAAATGTTGATAAACAAAAAAAAAATCACATCAAAGAAGATAAAAGAGCCCATTAAATTTTCTGCTCCTTAGCTAACCTCACCCATGTTCAAAAGGGACAAGTGGGCCAATGCAGTCACAGCTGCATATCCCCCTGAATTCCTTCCCATCCTCTCTGTGCCCTGAATCCACCCCACACCTGCTCCCCTGAGAAATCATCTGCTGATTGCTCTCTGGAGGGACGGTTTTCTAATCCAACAGATTCTGGAGGTTGCATAAATGGCTGCACTGGGAAAGGGTATTCCCTCGTCCCAGAGGCCAGGTGGCATCTACTAATTAGCAAGTATTTGTAAACAGTAGACATACCCTCTGATATGTGGATGTTTTCATTTTCTCCGAGTGATTTTTTTTTAACGTGCACTCTTTCACCTACCTCTGGATGAACAAGAGTTGAATGCTGCATCTAATCTAAGATCTATCACTTATAACATATATCATTTTATATGCCACTAAGAAGAAATGCTGCTAATTATATAGCATAATGCTTTCTTATTACTTAGAATTTTCCCACACAATATCTATCTGTTGCCCTCTGTGCTGTCATCCTCTGCATTTCTTTTTTCTTTTTTCTTTTTTTTTTTTTTTTTTGAGACAGAGTCTTGCTCTGTCACCCTTGGTACGGTGCAGTGGCATCATCATAGCTCACTGCAACCTCCAACTTCTAGGCTCAAGTGATCCTCCCGCCTCAGCCTCCTGAGTAGCTGGGACTACAAGTGTGCACCACCATGCCCAGCTAATTTTTCTTTTTTTTGTAAAGACTGGGTCTCACTCTTGCTCAGGCTGGTCTCAAACTCCTGAGCTCAGGCAATCTTCCTACCTCAGCCTCCCAGAATGCTAGGATTACAGGCATGAGTCACCATGCCTGGCCAGCCTTTGTGTTTTTCTTAAAGGACTCAGGTCTAGTCTCTGGGATCTTCTCCCAAACCTCTGATATCATTCCACAAGTTTTGTACTGCAACTTCTTAATCTTACTGGATATCAACAAAAGGTTTTCGGGTAACCATAAGGAACACATTTTATTTGACAATTAAGTGCAACCTGGGTAGTATAGCCTATATTACTTCCTTTGACACATTATCAAATATGATTGTTGGCCATTGGAACACAGCATTTCACCATTTGCAGTTTCAAGCCGATTATGAGCTGTGGACTCATGGCTCTCTGGTTCCACTCACCAAAAGACATGAAGAGGTTCATCAACAACAGCTCAGCTCAAATGTGGACAGCACTCCTGACTGTGCTTCACCCACTTAGTATAGCTAGAAGAACTCTTTGTAAGGCATGGACCCCGCATTTGAAATAAGAGTAAGGATTAGAATTGAAATCAGCTTCTTTTGTATACCTTTTATTTTCTATTTGTTTCTCTCACAAAAGACTTCATCATGAAAAGGAGGAAGCCCAAGCTGAAGTGAGTTGAAAACTTCATCTCCAAGAGAGGACTGTGGCTCAGCCTGTGTTGAGGTAAGATTAAATGGTTCATAGGGATGAGACCGGGTCAAACCATGTGACCACAACCTCTCCTGCCCTTTCCTCCCTCTCTCTCTTTCTCTTCTATTCCCTTCACTTTCTAAGCTTTCTTCTCTTCCTCTCTCCTGGAGACTCAGTATGCCAAAGATGCTGCCTATAATGATGAATTTGTCTAGACTTTAAGAGGAGGCGTATGAACCGACAAGAGGGTCTCAGCTGAGAGGGACATGTGTGCAAGGACTCATGACTATTCTGTCCCCTTAGGTTCTGAGCTGTGGCTTCTCACTTCTCCAGTACAGTTTCTTGCCTCTGTCTGTCCCACCTAATGCATTAGGACTAAATTGTTCAGGAAGGAGGGAGGAGGAGGACTATTCTGTCACTGCCCCTGCTCTTTCTCTTCTTTCCCAACATCCTGACCCTGACCCCTCTCACTCTGGCCACTCTCGCACCCATTCCCTAGGCAGGGTAGGACACTGGGCAACAGCATGAGCTCCGCTAGTCAGGCTGTGAGTGTCTGAAGCCTGGCTTGGGGCCTTACAGACTGTGCAATATTGGGTAAGTTACTTTCTCTTCCTTAGCCTCAGTTGCAGGGGCTATAAAATGAGTAGCTTAATAGTGCTACTTCATGGCGTTATCAGAATTGACTGAGATAGTGCACATGAAGCCTTTATTTCCTGCCACAAAGTAAATTTTGATTATTATTTCCCTTCCTCTCTGTTGTAGGTGGTGGTTGTTTTATCTCTTTTTTTTTTTTTCTGAATGCTCTTTTGTCTCATTCTTTTTTATATTTTAGCTTCTATGGACTGTATTTCACTTTCTTTACCCTCTTGACATTCTTGACTCATTTTATCTTCCCTATGTACACATGTAAGATGATTAAAGGGAGGCACTGAGTTGCTACCAGCAGAAAGTGTGTGCTCAGAATTGAGATTCCACAGCTTGCTGTGCCCAAAACAATGCACTTGTGTCAGGCAGCAGTGGTCTCTTCATCCCACGGCCCTGGCTGCAACCGCAATGAGACATGCTCACTACTTAACTTTGGCTTAGGCTACGGAAAAAGGAGTCTCTGAGGAAGAGCTGAGGTGGAAATATACACACACACACACACACACATATACACCATCTACTGCTTGCCAGTTAAGTATCCTTCCTTTAACTGGTATGGGCTTTATGAAAACGGGAGGGAAATCTTTTTTCCCCACTTATTTTCATTGTGGTAAAATATAAAATTTACCATCTTAACGATTTTTATAATGTTGTTGCAACTATCAACACCATCCATCTCCCTAACTCGTTTTATCTTGAAAAACTGAAACTGTGTTCCCATTAACAGTAACCCCCCAATTGCCCTTCCCCTCAGCCCCTGGCAGATACCATTCTACTTTGTGTCTCTTTGAACTTGACTATACTGGGTACCTCATGTAAGTGGAATCATAAGTATTTATCATTTTATGACTGGCTTATTTCACTTAGCAAAATGTCCTCAAGTTTCATCCATGTTGTAGTACACATCAGAATTTCCTTCCTTTTTAAGGCTAAATAGTCCCTTGTATGTATATATCACATTTTGTCTATCCATTCATCTGTCGATGGACACTTAGGTTGGTTCCACATTTCAGTTATTGTGAATATTGTTGCTATGAACATGAATGTACATGTTTAAGACTCTACTTTAGATTCTTCTGGGTATATAACCAAAAGTGAAATTGCTAGATTATATGGTGATTCTATGTTTAATTTTTTGAGAAACCACATACTGTTTTCCATAGAACTGTACCATTTTACATTCCCACCAACAGTGCACAAGGGTTCAAATTTTTTCACATCCTCACCAACACCAGTTGTTTTCTGTTTTGACAGTAGCCATCCTATCGAGCGTGAGGTGGTATCTTATTGTAGTTTTGATGTTCATTTCCTTAATGATTAGTGATGTAGAGCATCCTTTCTTTTTTTTTTTTTTTTTTGAGACAGAGTCTCACTCTGTTGCCCAGGCTAAAGTGCTATAGTGTCAGCCTAGCTCACAGCAACCTCAAACTCCTGGGTTCAAGTGATCCTACTACCTCAGCCTCCCGAGTAGCTGGGACTACAGGCATGCACCACCATGCCTGGCTAAATTTATATATATATTTTTTTTTTAATTTTTTTTTTTTAGCTGTCCAGCTGATTTCTATTTTTTTTTTAGTAGAGACAGCATCTCACTCTTGCTCAGGCTGGTCCCAAACTCCCGAGCTCAAACGATCCCCCCTTCTCGGCCTCCCAGAGTGCTAGGATTACAAGTGTGAGCCACCACACCAAGCCAGAGCATCCTTTCGTATGCCTGTTGGCCATTTGTATATCATCTTTGGAGAAATATATTCAAGTGGGAAGGGTGATCTTTTGAATCTATGAACAGAACTACATTCCTGAGGCCTTGTTCCCCTCTTGCATTTTCATTTCTGGTAGATGAAAGGTACAATCCAATGATGTAGAGTCAATGTTTTCTATTGAAACAGTTTCTACAGAGAGCCAGAATGAGACAGGAGGGGATAAACTATTAATATCATTGATTACATACCTCCCAACCAAGAGCTAAGAATCTCTTGTGGGTGAATAGCCTAGAAGAAGTATTCTCAGTTTAGTATAGTTTTGATATCCTACTTACAAAAAGGGATTTGAGAACCCTGCATGATGGAAACAGTAGTGATACCATTGATTAAGAAGATACAAAATAATGGTTTGTGGTTGGGTATGGTATCTCATCCCTGTAATTCCAGCATTCTGGGAGGCCGAGGTAGGCGGACTGCTTAAAACCAGAAGTTCAAGACCAGCCTGAGCAACATAGTGAAACTCCATCTCTACAAAAATAGAAAAGTTATCTAGGTATGGTGGCATGCACCTGTAGTCCCAGCTGCTCAGGAGGCTGAGGCAGGAGGATAGCTTGAGCCCAGGAGTTTGAGGTTACAGTGACCTATAATGATGCCACTGCACTGCAGCCAAGGCAGCAGAGCGAGACCCTGTCTCAATTTAAAAAAAGAAAGATTGGTTTGTGGAAGGCATATAGTGAGAGACCTCCTAGAGAGGCCTTTCCTAACACCCTAATGAGTGTTGCTAGCCCCACACCCCAGTCACTTTTATTACATGTATCTGTTTTATAGTCTTTATATAGACCTTATCATCAACTTTCCTTTTCCCTGACTTGACTAGCCTGTCTCTGCATAGAGTGTAAGCTGCATGGGTGCAAGGATCTTATTAGTCTCATTTAGCTGTAGCTACAAGTGCTTGGCACAGTGCCAGGAATATCACAAATACTGATAGAATGTGCTGAATTAGTGAATAAATATAGCAATTTAATTATGACATTATATTCTCTCTGTATCCATTAATTGTATCTCCATTGCCTCAATTTCCTGATGTTTGTACATAAGCACAATGAAGAAGAACAGGAAGCCCACCTCAAGGATCGATGTGCAGAATGCCCTCTGTGTCCCACACCCCCATGGGCCAGGAGATCTTCAAAATATGCTGGATGGAGGAGAGTATACTCTTTTTGTATCTCCTCCCATGTTAGAGAGCAATTTTATCCAGGTAAATAATACTTGAAAACTGAATTAAGTTCCAATAACATCAGTAATTAATTTTCTTAAACACAACTGAAAAGGTTGGGAGAACTGTTTTAAGTGTGCCAAGGAAATATGTGATCCCATTAAAGGGAACAGTTTTGGAACTTTAAACAACCCGACATAGTTATACAACGTTAAAGGACATTCACTTCAAATGTTCCCAACAAACTCTTACAAAGGAATTCTGTCTTAATTCTACCATATTTATCATTCTATCATGAACTTCCCAAAATTACATGAAGTGATTTTTAGAATATCCTGCCACAGGAGAGCATATGAAAACTTTCTTAGACTTAGAAGACATGTTAAAGAACAACATCTGTGACACAACTAGGAATTAAATAAATCTTAGCTCTTAGTTTTGAAGGTAAGATATAATTGTTAGATAGTGTCAGAGAGAAAAGCTTCCTTCTCAGAATAATGTTACCTACATTATGAATGAAACTGCATTTCAGTATATTTGGGAGCAGTGCTAACTTTCCTCTAAACATTCAACATTAAAAAATTCAGACAAAGAAAGGGGAAATGCATTCAATGGTATGGACCATACCTACAAACTTCAGAGAAATACCACAACAAAATCTAACACTGGACACTGAGCTACTGCCTCTAACCCCGACACATTCAAGCAGCCACTCAGCTGATTCCACAGAGGGCTGACAGGGAGGACAACAGGCACGTCTTCAAAAGGTAAGGAAACTTCATCTTCCATAAACATGATCAGTACCTGAGCACTAGCATGACTGCCCCGTCTCCAGTATACCATGGGGGTGAAGCCGCCAGAAACATCCAATGTTTTAGTGATGGCCCCAGAATGCATGTGACAAGTCATGATTTGAGGTACTTTGCCTTTTATATACTTCTTTCCTAGTAATAATCTTTTTATTTTATTTATTTTTTTACCTTTCTTCCTGTGCCCTTTCCAAATTACATTTTACATACTCTAATGAAATTACATAATACTTGCCCTACACTGGGGAAGATAGTTAGCAGATTATAGATCAGACACGGCCCTCTATCATAATTTATAAGTCATACCCTACAAGCGGCACAACCCCACCTGGTTATTATGTCTTTGGTAGCAAGTTACCAAGACTTCTGACTCAACAGGTTTAAAAGAAAAGAAAAAACAATGATCTCAAATAGAGTGACAGAGTCCCAGGGCAGACAAGTAGAGGATCCAGTTTTTCTCTTTTTGCTCTGTTGCTCTCAAGCTAGCTTCCATCTGGACATCACCCCAACAGGACAGTAACAGTTGCCAGCAATAGAATTGATTTGTCTCATCCTGATGACTCTTCGTGAGGGCTGGGAAACCTTTCCCAGAAACACCAGGAGGCCCCCAATTGTGTCTCACTGGATCACATGCCCCTGCTTAAATCAGTCACTGGCAAGGAGGGTGGGACTACCATGACCTGCCTAGGTTAATCAAGATTGAACTCCTGAGCGGGGTCATCATCCATGAGGCATGACAATGGATAAAACCAGGATCCTGTTAATCAGGAAGAAGAGGGGCACAGCTTTGGATGTGTAAACAATATTGTGGGCTACTACCTCTTTCTGAATATATTTGCTTTTAAGTGTTTTATTTTTTAATTGAACCAGTTATTATACAGCTGAAAAACCACAGTGTAGCACCACTCTGGCTTCCTTCGCATCCCTGTCTGCCCATTCTCTAGTCTCTTCTACCAACTGGCAGAGATTTGGCCAAGATTCTTGTACTTTTGGGTTTTTATACATGCTATTCCTTGGCCTGGAAACATTTCCTCTCCACCCAGCCAGTTTACCCCCCACACTGTTCAGGTCTCAGCTAAAGGACCCTTCCTCACGACCCCATATCGAAGGGTGTGCTGGAGCTGGCCTTTTGGTAAGTGTCCAGGAAATTTGCATGTCAGCTGTTAAACACAGCCATTATTAAAAATTAAATTATATAAACTGACATTTAGATTATATCTGAAACAAGGGCAATAAATATTCAAAACTCATCATTCCTATTCCTTTACTACATTTTACTAGTATCTATGCTCCTGAGGTTATACACACAAGAGTTTGACAAAGGCTTGTGGAATTTATCAATTGATTCTTGGAATTTAAATTAAGGAGTATTGTTTATTATTTGTAAGTTGTGTGCTACTCATCTTTTATATCAGTAACATTTTAAATAAACTTCTATGTAAATGTGTATACCTCCCAAGAGCTAGCTGTTAAATGTTTACCAGCACAACATTGCCTATATTCCCATTCTAAACTAAATCAAATCCCCTATCATATGTTCCCATAACATGCTGAACTTGTACTTGGTAAAACATCTTACAGTGATAACTAGTTACATACTTAGATTGTTTAATGTTTGCCTTCCCTGATAGGCCCCACAGGCCAGGAACTATGTCTGTCTGTGCCCTGTAGTATCTTTAAGAATTAACATGAACCACTGAAGGAACAAATATACTATAGTTCATTTCTCCTTTATTTCCTGTCCTCCCTTACACTGCTCATGTAAGCAAGGTTGTCATAGCCAAGCATTTTATCAGATAACTCCTCTTCCTATTCTCTGCACTCAGGTCAACAGGAGAGGTGAATCCATTTACCTTCATAACCGAGCCAACTGGGTGACTGTAGGCATCTGTTCTTCCAGTTCCACCTGCAAAACCCCCAGTGTGATGCTGCTGGCACATCTGACACCCACTGTCCCAAAAGATACAGAACCCCTGTTTAAAAGTCTCCTGACATCTCCTTGTACAGAGAAACTGGTGCTCACCAGGTGAGTTACAAAGAAAAGAGATTATGGAAAGTATGCTTTACCCATATGGAGCTGAAAATGGAAACACTGATGATAGCTCCCTGCTGCAAATGACAAAGTATAGTGTCCTTAAAGTTGAACTAAACCATTTATGACAAAGGCAATCAAACAAGCAATCATTTTTTTCTTTTTTTCTTTTTCAATATCAATCATTTTTTTAAAGCAAACCTAAGTAACAGGAACTGAAGACTCATAATAAAATGTCTCTCTTGAACTTGCCTCCTCTTCCCCCAACACCCTGACTTCCAACAGAATTAGCTCTGATCTTATCTCAGCCACTAACTTGTTGTATGATCTTGAGCAAATCATACAATTTTAAGTCTCAACTTTGTAGGATTAATTAAAATGGACAATTTCTCAAGGCAAATAGTTGGCATTCTGGGTTTTTTTAGTATATCAGAGTCTTAGACATATAATTAAGATGAGATGGCCCTCAGGAACCCCTCCCCAGACCTATCCAGGAGACAAGCCATTGTCCTGAGTCTTACTCTTCAAACTGCTATAAAAGACAAAAAGAAAGGCCTTTTTATAGATCTCCAGTCAAGTCTACAGATGCTGTCACATTTGTGTTTGTTTGCAGGTTTCTCCCTCTGCAGTTTGTGACTCTTTCTGTGCATGACGCTGAGAATATGCGCCTCAAAGTAAAGCTTGTGAGTGGCCGAGCCTACTACTTACAGCTCTGCGCCCCCGCATATAAACAGGACACCTTATTTTCTCAATGGGTGAACCTCATCTCCGTCTTGAATAGGGAGAAAGCCAAAGTTTCCAAAGTGTCAGAGGTCTCAAGCCTCTCAGAAATCACAAATAGCACAGAAATCACAGACTCCATGGACATCATGGATATTACAGCGTTCGCAGCTGTACAGACTCCATACACACATGTATGTACAGGCCCTGTACATGTTATGGAAAGCATAGATTTTTCAGAATATACAGACATAACTGACATCACAGATGTCACAGATATTCCGGAAAATGAGATCACAGAGGTCCCAGATGTACGAATTGTCACAGAAATCACAGATGTAACGGAAGTCACAGACAACTCTGATGCCACACATTTCTCAGAGGTTACAGTGGTGTTTGAAAATGATGACATAATAAAGGCCAAGCAAGAGGAAAAGGTATGTGACACAGAAGACTTTTAAATTTTAATAATCCAGAACTAGAGTGGTAACCCAGATTACGATTCTCAGTCAGCTGACATTGATTATCACAATGCTATGGAACCTGCTCTGAGTAATCTGTAAAGAGATCTGTTTGAGGACTACTGCTGAAAAACCTCCACTGGGTCCACAATAGAGAGATGGCAAAGGGCAAGGATAGACATTTCACAGGAGAAACTGCTTACAAATATAGGAGAAAAAGTTTAACCTTGTTAATAATCAAAGAAATGAAAACTTAGAAAAAAATTTAACCCATGTAACTGTCAATTAGAAGAATAAAAACTGTCAGTAAAAGTGTTGTCAACTAGGAATTCATAGGAATTTGTGGTAGGGATAAGAATTAGTACATTTTTTCTTGAAATGAATAGAAGTCAAGGACCTTAAAAATGTTTATACCCTTTGAATCAGTGATTCCACTTCTAGGAATCTATCCTAAGGAATTAATCACAAATAGGAAGGATGATTTAGCTACAAAGATGTTATCCATACCATATTTATGCCATGTTTCTAATAATGAAATAATAAAAGCATAGAAGAAACCTAAACATCCACCATAGAAAAATGGCTAGATGAATTTAAATTCATGAAGGGCAGGTGTCACATTTATCTTGTTCAGAGGCTACCATAGTATCTTGCAAGTTCATAGGCACTCAGCAAATATTTATTAAATTAATTACTACTCTACAGCTATTAAAATTGTTGAAGAACATTTCTTGGCTTATAAAATGTTCACAATAGAACATTGAGAGAAAAATGAAAAGTACAATCTCTATTATATAAAAATACATTTACATTCACTAAAAGAAAAAATCCATGTTGTAAACAGCAGTTTATCTCTAGATTATAGGATTATAGACAATTTGTGTCTTATGTATACTTTTCTAAATTCTCTGCTTCCTACAACCAAGATAACTAATTTTTAATTAGGAAAACTTGTAGTTTTACATTATTCTTAATGACAGGAAAAAAAATCTTATAATAACATGCTAAGTGAAAAAGGTAGGAGACAGAACTTCAATATGATCTCAAAGCAGACATGTACAAAATAAATAGATAAAACGCTTAGAATGAAATGTGCCATAGGAGTAGTTGTTTCTGGGCAGTGGCATCATGTATGCAATAAGTTTCGACCTCTCACTTTATTCCTTTTAGGATCTTCCACATGTTGTACAATAAAATGTATGACTTTTATTGCTAGAAAAAAAATGAAGTTTTATCCTTTTTTTTTCTAAAGACAGAGTCTTACTTGTTGCCCAGGCTAGAGTGCCATGGCATCAGCCTTGCTCATAGCAACCTCAAACTCCTGGGCTTAAGCAATCCTTCTGCCTCAGCCTCCCAAGTAGCTGGGATGGGACTACAGGCATGTGCCACCATGCCCGGCTAATTTTTTTTCTATATATTTTTAGTTGGCCAATTAATTTCTTTCTATTGTTAGTAGAGAAGGGGTCTCGCTCTTGCTTAGGCTGGTCTCAAACTCCTGATCTTGAGCGATCCACCCTCCTTGGCCTCCCAGAGTGCTAGGATTACAGGCGTGAGCCACCGCGCCTGGCCATGAAGTTTTATCTTTAAGGAAGAAGATTACTGCATTATTTTCAAGAAAATGTAAGCGAAATAACAGACTAAGTAGAGGCAGCTAGAAGATGAAGGTGCAGACATGAAAGGTATTAGAGAGACAGGCTATAGAGCTTGCTAACAGATTGCTCTGAGGCCAGAGTGAGAGATTCTGAGGTGGTCAGAGAGTGACTAGGAGAGGTGGCACATTAACCAGGAAATTAGAAGAAGATTTTAGGGTATTAAGCTATAGGTACAGGTTCTAAGTTCTTTGAAAAATGAACTCTTTTGTACTAGTATGAACCCCCAACCCCTGTCACCTATTAGATGCTCTTAATTAAGAGCAACCTCAGATTGGGGAGTAGGTGGCAAGGCATTTCTGGAAAACCTTGCCTTGACAGTTCACAGAGAAGTACTGTAATTAAGTGCTAATTGTCTTGTGTGAGGTGACACTGCTGCACATGTGTTGTGTCAGGCTACAGTGGAGCAGGCCCTCAGCTCCCACGCTCCTGCCTCCAACACCTCCCTGGGCTCTTCCCAGTCTCTGTGCAGCACCAAGCTTCACACCCTCGTGACTGTGCCGGTGTTCGTGTGGGCAGTCAGTAAATATGTATGAAATAATTACTGTATTAGATGCTGCTCCATAAGCAATCTATTTATGTATCATGCTCTTCTATTACCTGATTTGGTGCTGCTTGTTATTTTCAAAGGAAAAAATGAAAAACATTCTGAGGCCTGGATGTCTACGAAATACAAAAAGTAAGAATGAGTTCAAAGAATCCTCAAAACGTGTCACCATCTCAGACATAACACTGACTTTGGAAGGTACTAAATGTTTTCGAACTACCTTGACTTCAGTAGAAAGCAAAGTAAATATATGCAAAGAGATGGATAATAAAACCTCTGAAGACAAGACAACTGATTTTCAAACCGCAGCTCTAAAGGCTATAGAATCCAGGTATGTGAATCAGGAGAATGAAAGAGGGGTATGCTTTAAAGTTAAATGTCTATAACTCAGGCATTTGCTGCCGAAGAGTCTCAGACAGATACAGTGTAATTGAATGATAATATAGTCAACTTTTAATGATCCACATTTGGTTCCACCTTGACTAATTTGTATTTTCATGCCAGCTTCTCACACCACTCAGTTGGCATTCCAGGCTGTTTGCCTGCTGTCAACTGTGTGTGCTTCAGAACATATAATAGAACCACAGTGTTTACATTTTAAAGTTGGAACATTGATTTCTATAGTGATTTGGAATACTTTTTGTTTATAATGCTCTATATTTTCCTTCTCTCTATAATCTCTATATATCCCTTATATATCTCCACATTTTCAACTAACAACTTAATCTGAAAAAATAATTTTCATAATTTCAATAGCTTTATTGCAAGCTGATTGTGAGTGAGCATTGTAGGGTTATAAAGATAAAAGTTAATCTGATCATTCTGGGGTAACACCTAAAAAGAAACCAGATCCAAATGCTTATATTAGTAAGAAGGAAAATGAGGAATATAATAAACTATGTCTACATTTTTTTAAATAAAAAAAGGAATAGGGGAAATCATTACATAAATATAGAAGAGCAGAAAAAAACCATGATGCTTTAAACACATTTGATAAATTTTGATATCCTTAATCACAGAAAAGATCCACATAATAGTTTTCCTTTAGCACAATAAAGAACATTTACTCTAAACCAGAACCAACATTATTTTTAATGAAGACATTCTAGAAGTGTTCTACTTAAAACTTAGAGTTAAGAATGTTCCCATTAACATTTCTATGTAATATAATTTTAAGAGGTTCTAGCAATTATAATAGGATAAAGAAATACTGAGAAAAAATATAATGGAGTCTTAAGAAGTCGCTCTTTGCAAATGGCAATTCATATTTGGAAAATTTGAGACTTTACAAAATATTAATTTGTAAACAAGTTTAGGAATGTTACATATTGTAAAACAAACTCACAAAAAATAATTTTGTTTAATTAACAAACCAAACATATTTTAAAAAGAATGTATTTTTCAATAGTAACAACAACAAAAATCAAATATTTAGTGATGGTGATAAGAGACCTATTTAAATGGAATTACAAAATTTTAGTGACAGAAATAAAGGACAACTTGAATAAGGAAAAAAAGGTTCTCCTGGGTCAATAGATTTAAGACAGCAAAAATGATAAGACCTCCTAAATTGATTTATATATTTAATATATTGCCAATTAACATCTCAATAGGATAGCTCATAGAAATAATAAAACTGTAAAAAATTATGTGGAGGAGATAGGGGTAAGAATCTCAAGAAAACTACTGGGATGGAAAATGTCTATAGGAACTTGGTACTATAAAATCTTAAGCCATGTTATAATTAAATGGCTATCAGAACTACCAGTGTGAAATTTAGAATATAGAAATAAAACTACAAAAATAGATTCAAACTGATATGAGTTCAAAAGAAGCAGGGAAAAAGCTAAATTCTAGAAAATGGTCAAAGGTGTTTGTATAGCACAAAAATATTTCAGATGGGAAAAGAATAAATTATTTTAAAACTAACTAAAATAAGCTATAAGGAAATGGAATGGTAATATTGTCTCAGTTACAGAGGAAAGATCATTTCTTGTCTACTGAAGCAGCAAAAGTAATTTTCAATGGCAAAGTTTGATTCATCGACTCAATATTTACTGAGCACCTCCTATGCACTAGGCACTGGGGACACAGCAGTGAAAATAATCAAATCCCTATCTCATAAAGTGTTTATTCTAGTCAGGGAGATAGACAATGAACAAATAAAACAGATTATGCCAGCTGGAATGTACTGTGATGAAAATTCAAAACAAAAATAGAATATAGAGAATGATTTGAGGAGAGCGGAGGGATATTTTATACAGGTGGGTTCTCTAAGAAAGGAACATTTGAGCAGAAACCTGAGGAAGTATGTAGCTCTGGGGGAATCCAGTTCCAAGTTGATTGATTGCATAACAATTACAAATATCTGCCAAATAAATCATTTTAAATAAATAAACACATACACAAATGTATAACAACAGACTGGGAAAGAAAGAATAATAAATAACCTTTATATATATGTAGCGGATGGAAATTCATAAAGGCTGCAATTAACAGATGGTTTAAGGACATAAATAGAAAATTTACTCCAGAAGACAAATACTTAAAGAAGGATCAACCTCACTAATAATTAAAAAACTGCAAGTTAAGTAATTACCAGTTGGCTTTTCATTGGGTGTCAGTAACGCTCATGGTGTCACTGTAAATGGTTGGCAATTCACAGCACAAATAATGATACTCCTTGATTTATAGGAACACATGTCAAAGAAATAATTCAAAGGGGAAAATAACTCATCTGAACATAATGTTTCATAGTTAAGATGTGTAAGTAATTCAAATAACCACTGGTGAGAGAATGGCTAAACCAGGAAACAATATATTAATTTAGTGAAACAGCAGATCCCAATTAGGAAAAGCAACAGGCAGGATTTCAATGAAAAGGGCTGAATGACTAATAAGGAATTATAAACTAGAAAAACAAAATTTCAAAAAATGTAAATACAATGGTTTTTTACTTCTACAGTCTGGGAAGAAATCACAGTTTGGGCATAGTTGGTGATTAAAGGAATTGATAACTGGTGCACATATGGATAAATGTCTGTATTAAACTTTTATTATATAATTGATTACATATGTAATTTAAAAACTAAACTGATGTTAGGATACATTAATTGGGAGACAGTTTAACACAGCAGCTAGAGAATGAGCTTTGTAGTCACATCCCTGGGTTTGAATCCTGGCTTCTCTCTTTTATTAGCTCTATGATGTTGGGCAAGTTACTTAACCTCTTCTACTCTGTTTCCTCATTTGTAAAGTGGGAATAAATACCTCCCATGTGTAGCTGTTGTAGGGATTAAATAGCTGATATTAAAAAGCTCACAATGAGGCCGGGCACGGTGGCTCACGCCTGTAATCCTAGCACTCTGGGAGGCCGAGGCGGGCGGATTGCTCGAGCTCAGGAACCAGCCTGAGCAAGAGCAAGACCCCCGTCTCTACTATAAATAGAAAGAAATTAATTGGCCAACTAATATATATAGAAAAAATTAGCAGGGCATGGTGGCGCATGCCTGTAGTACCAGCTACTCGGGAGGCTGAGGCAGCAGGATCGCTTGACCCTAGGAGTTTGAGGTTGCTGTGAGCTAGGCTGATGCCATGGCACTCACTCTAGCCTGGGCAACAGAGCGAGACTCTGTCTCAAAAAAAAAAAAAAAATTAAAAAAAAAAAAAAAAAAAAATTAAAAATAAAAACAAAATAAAAAATAAAAAGCTCACAATGTCAGGAACGGGGCATTAATAATTGGTTTTTAAAAAAGAATATATAGGGCTGGGCGCAGTGGCTCACACCTGTAATCCTAGCACTCTGGGAAGCTGAGGCAGGAGAATCACTTGAGCCCAAGAGTATGAGGTTGCTGTGAGCTAGGCTGATGCCACGGCATTCTAGCCCAGACAACACAGTGAGACTCTGTCTCAAAAAAAAAAGAATATACAGATTAAATATAGGGAGGAAGGAAGGAAAGAAAAAAGGAAGTGAGAAAGGGAGGCAAGAAGGAAGGGAGGGAAGGCGGAAGGTAGGTTCAGATTCTAGATTAAACAGAACAAAAAAGTCTAATGTAGATTTGACTCAGACTGAATATAGTACAAAGATGGTTTATGCTGTAGGGCCATGTAGGACTTCTGAAGTAATCTTTCCACTATACTATGCGATAAACTGAACCAAGAGAAGGGCTAGAAAAAAAACAAAAGCACAAAACTGACTAGATATTTTTAATGTAGTAAAAAAAATTTGAGGTGATAGGAGAATGTTAATAGGTGATAATGACAATATTCCAATGTATGAGGAAGTCGACAGAAGGCTAAGCTTAAAAAGTGGATTTAAAAGTAAAAATTATTTTAACTAAACACGAAGGAAAAATTTATTATAAGGTAATACAGCAATCAACTAATCAATTAAAAAATAAAAATAAATGCATATCATTGATTAGATATTTTTTTTTGCAAGGTTGATATCATGGCATTGATTAGATATTGATAAACAACAGAACCAGTTTCTGTAGGTTATAGAGTCTGTCCCTGGACATTTCTCAAAAATGAACACTAAACCATTTGTCCTGGATAGATGTTAGACATTCTCTGGCCAAATAGACCCCTTCATATTTATTATGTAACCTTAATCACTGGGAAGACCTACTGCTAAAATGAATAAAAGAATGAATGCTAAAGTCAAATATAAGTGTGTTCTGGGGAATTCCTTAAAGAAATATGGTTAAATGGAAACAGTAAACATACCTGGTATGTTGCAGGATTCCCAGAAGCAGAGTGACATAAGTATATATTAGGCTTGGAACGTATTAGGTACTCAGTAAATGACCATTATGGTCACTAATAATTCATTTACAATAGTGTAGATTGAAGAAAGTTGACTATTCTGTCAAAAAAAAGTGTCTTAAAAATATCTTAATCAACTGAGGATTAATTATTCAAAGCTGGCTTTTTAAAAATATCTTCTTTCCTAGGAAAGTATAGGCCAAGGGAAGCAAATGAAGATGGATGATCCTTAGGAGAGCCATAAACCTTGAAATCAGAGTAATGTTTGCTTTAGTTCTTGAGCATTAAATTTCTCACAGTTCCAAAGCCTCTAGATCAAACTGCCAAGGCACTCAAAGTGTTGGATCTCAATTGCTCAAAAGTAAACATCTTTTGATATTTAAGGTTCCTAACCCAATGGTTCTCAAAGAGAGGCTACTGAACCAAGCAGCAGCTGCAGCATCACCTGGGAACTTGTTAGAGATGTAAATTCTTGTGCCCCTTCCCATTTTACTGAATCATAAACTCCAGGGACGGGACATAGAATTCTGTTCTAATAAACCTCGAAGTGATTCTAGTGCACACTCAAGTTTGAGAACCATTGCCTTATGACAAGCCAGCCTCATATAGAAAGGGGTTTAGCAACGATTGACCCCTCTCTCAGGAGAGCTTCTCCTGAGGCCCCAGAGTCAAAATAGGGATTCTCCTTCATAGCCTTAGCAAGAACTATCTGCTCAAACTCCAGAGTTCCTCCTTCCAGGAATCTTTCCTATATGGCAGGCAGCTCAAAAGAGAATAAAAATATGCCTCAATGTGGGGATTGCTGTTATCACTCACACAAATTTTCCTGCTTCCTACTGAGGGAACACAAGTCACTGAAATAAATAAATTTCTCCCCAGAACACCGATCTATTATGTCTTGATGGTAACCACTGAATTATTTCAGTGGAACTAAGCAATGACCAGAAGAGTTACCGGTAAGACTTACGTGTTAGAAGAAAAAAGACAAGCATTTTTTAAAAAATAGGAGAGAGAGAGAGAGAGAGTAAGGAAGGGAAAGAAAAACAGAAACCACAGGTCAGAAATGGAGAAGGGAGAAAGGAATATAAAATGCAGAGGGATAGATGCAGGTGTCACTCAGTGGGAAAAGTACTTTTTGGACTATACACGAGCATGGCTTTAAAAGAAAAGCCTAAGATATCTAAAAAAAAAAAAACAAAAAAAATGAGATAAAATAAATCATCTAATTTAGCAATTTGTCCTAAATAATAATTGATCACGAAGTCTGGTCACCCTGATGTCCTCCTTATGTTTTATTTCATTCTTAGGTCTCAAATCCATTGCCCCCACCACTGTCTAACACTTCAGAAACACACCACAAATCAAAATCTTACAAGGTTAACTATTTAAATCATTTTAGCTTCTTCTTTCCTTGTCCAAAAAGAATGCCCTGAACCATTAGATTAGCTTTAAATGCCTTTAAAAAAAAAAACTTGTGAAAAATAATTAATAAACATAATTTTTAGGCAGAGCTGTGTAGGGTGAGAAGTTACAAAAAAATTTTTTTAACTTTATTTTTTAGCACAGTTTTAGATTTGCAAAATAATTGGGCAAATAGTACATAGAGTTCCATATAACCATCCCACTCCCCCCTACAGTGTTCCCTGTTAATGTTGTACATGTGGTACATTGATTACAATCAATGAACCAATACTGACATATTATTATTAACTAACTCCATAGTTTACATTAAGTTTCATTCTTTGGGTTATACAGTTCTATTGAGTTTTGACAAATGCACAATAACATGTATCCACCATTGCATTTTCATACAGAATAGTTTCATTGCCCTAAAAATCCCATCAGCATTAGACTAGCTTGTAACTGCTTTTTTCTTTTTCTTTTCTTTCTTTCTTTTTCTTTTTTTTTTTTTTTTGAGACAGAGTCTCACTCTGTTGCCCAGGCTAGAATGCCATGGCATCAGCCTAGCTCACAGCAACCTCAAACTCCTGGGCTCAAGCAATCCTCCGGCCTCAGTCTCCCAAGTAGCTGGAACTACAGGCATGCGCCCTCATGCCCGCCTAATTTTTTCTTTATGTTTTTAGCTGTCCAAGTAATTTCTTTATATTTTTAGTAGAGACGAGGTCTCACTCTTGCTCAGGCCAGTCTCAAACTCCTGAGCTCAAACGATCCACCCGCCTTGGCCTCCCAGAGTGCTAGGATTACAGGCGTGAGCTACTGCATCAGGCCTGCTTTTTAAAACATTAAAAATTATAAAAATGAAAGAAATCGTGTCTTTTTCTGCAACATGGATGTAACTGGAGGCTGTTATCTTAAATGAAACAAGTGGGTGCTAAATAATACATGTACATGGAAGCAGAGTGTGCAATGATGGACAATGGAGACTCAGATGTGTGGGGGCTGGGGGAGGTGGATAATGGGATGTTGCTTGGTGGGTATGATGTATGTTGCTCCAGTGATGGAAGCACTGAAGGCACTGACTTCAACATGATGCAATCAATATAACAAAATTATACTTGCACCCCACGAATATATACAAATAAAAAATAAATGGAGGGAAAATATTTAAAATGATAGGGATCACTTAAATTGTTAGAATGAAAAAGGTTTTGCAGGTGCTAAATTTTGTTAGTCTCACTATTTTGTTATTAGAAATGATGAGAAAATGAATCCCCAAATAGCAAAAATCATAGAATTTTAACGATATAAAAGACCTTGAAAATTAGCAAATCTCAAATTCTTCAAGGCATTGCCCCTCCCATCCCTCAGTTTCCTGTACCATTTGTCTACTGACTGTACTGGAGAGAAATAAATAGGTGAAGAAAAAACAAACAAATTTTAGTTATAAGTAATCCTCTTAGGCCAAATTTAATTGAACATAGCTTTCTTTTTATTGCCTATTTGCATCAGGAACATAATTACTACCTAGTGTCTAATTTGAGAATGTTAATTATGAAAGAAAGATGTAATATTCTAAGAACAAAATGGAATTCACTGATGCTTTATCCCAGGGACATTATAGGATTTAGGATTGTGAGGTTGATAAATAAGTTTTATATATTATTTTTCCTCTCCAAGACTATGAATTTCAGTGACATTTTATAGCTATGTACTTTAGAATACTGAGGAAAAAAAGAAACAATGATCTTGTCGAATATTCTGCCCTCAGATTCACTAATCTTCAAAATGTAAATTGAGCATTTTAAATCTAGATGAGTGAAAAACTATTGAGACTTAACATTTCTATACTGTCACTATAAGTCCTTTAGAAATGAAGGATTTACTTTATAAAGCATTTATATTCCTTCTCATACCTTGACAAGAGTGCTACCATGACTCTTTGTCTTAAAGAGGTTAATGGCAGGCTTCATTTTAATTTGCACCTATTTTTTTACACACGTGATATTTCTCAGCCTCTTGAAAACTTTTATCATTAAGCTCAACCTTCATTTAAATCACCAGATCTATGAGGTAAAGGCTATATGAATATTTATTTGCAAACTCTTCAGAAAATTACTATTTTAACATTGACCCCCTGAAACATCCATTGTAGAACTTGCACTGGGTGTATTTGTGATACCTTTTAAAATGGATCATAAGTATGTCTTTGTACATTTATCTTGGAAGGTAATATCTAAAGTCATAATTATTCTTCACAAACTCTTTGTTTTACTCAAATAGCAACATTTTCAAAATATTTATTGAAAGCGTGTCCAAGAAACAAGAATCTGGTAAAAACTGAGTTTATGTTGTAGCATGCCAATGAAGTTAGAAAATATTTCATCATTGTTATTAATTTTTAAAAATCAGGAGTGCAGAAAAGTACGCTGCTTTATCCAAAGACATTTCTGAAAATGAAATAGTCTGAAAAACTGCTAGCCTCCTGTTTCGCCCAACAAATCATACAAAATGTTAATAAATGTAAACAAGGTACATTATTTGCCTGTAAGATTCCCAAGCACTGTCACCCCCAAAAGGCCATTAGAGATAGTGGTAAAGCTAGCAGAACTTGGCAACTTCTCCTAACCCATCCATTCTGGAATTTATCCCCAGTTCTCTATGAGACCCTGTATTTCCAACACATTGGAAATACATTTCCATTGATCCTATTTACTTAAGCCCCTGAGCAGCAGCAGTTAACTTCTCTCAGTCTTGGCCCCAGGGGAAGGTTAGAAAGGCAGCAGGGTTGGGGATGCCAGCAGCTTCATTGAGTGACTGGTGATAAATATACTATATAAAAATAGATTATATATTATTACATACAATTCACTTTTATGACTTTTACAGATTAAACAGCCTGCATGTTACAGACATTCACATAATTTTCTCTCAAGTGTATTATAATCAATAATAATAGCCCAGGCTTGCTAAGCATGTTTCTTACTACCCACAAAGCATTTAGAGAATGACCTGTTATCTCATATCTAGTAAACCTTTTCTAAATATTTGCGGTTACACTGGCAAATTTTTGAAATGTGCTATTTATTTTTACAGGAGCATGAGCATTGATTCAGACTCTACAGGTATGGAACAAATTCCACTACATGCTTTATTGTGATCCCTGGTATCCAGTAGTTATCTCTGGTTCCTAGAAGATTAGAGTAGTAAGAGCAAAGGAATTCAGCTAGACTTTTTATACATTCCCTTTCCTCACTTTGCTGCATTCTAAGAGCCCTACATTGGAGAAACTCTTCCTCGAAGCCTATCCTCAGACTATCTTTTAAGTGGAAGTCATTACAGTACTTCACTACTTTACTTTTGTTTTTCTGCATTGGTAAAGTTTGGTTTCCCAGCTCCCTGAATCTAACTCACAGTTCATGAACCACTCCCAGGCTAGTTCTGCAGGCAGAATCCAAACTACAGCAATAATAGGACCTCCCATCCTTGCTGATACATAAGAGGAATGGTTGACAACTAAATTTTTGGTAAATCTAAAATCATCCAGTCCCTCTTTTCTTTCTGTTTACTTCTTTAGCCTTTGCCTTACTGTCAGATGATACTATTTAATGGGTTTGGAGGGAGAGAACAGTTTTTTTCTTTACATATTCCTATGTCTAAGAATCTTTAACTTTTATTAATACCAACAAACTTTTACTGTGGAGGTTTTCTTACAGGAACCTGTGAGATCTCCCTTTGCTGATTGTTGACCCACTTCTAAATGACTTTCTAACCCCAAGATGGAATAGGCCTCAGCTTCAGTCATGCACATAAAAGAGTATTATGGAAGAGACATAGAGGAACATTTAACTTAGCTTAAGTGGATAGAAAAAATAATAATAATACTTCAAAAAGCAAGAATGCTTGAAGGCATTTTTGGTCACATTTACAAGAGTCAATTATATGAAAAAAAAAAAAAAAGCAAATTACTAGAGGATAGGTTTTACACAAACAAGATTTGTCTTTGGGCCTTCCCAATGGGCTTTGGTGTCCAAAAATACAAGAAGAACTTCATTGTAATGTGGTTTGGCCTATATTCTACTCTACAGTATGGAACCTGAGAACATTGTAGGGAAATGATATTGTAGTTTATAAGAAAAATGCAAAGTTTCCTTTGCAGTTTATAGAATTTTAGTCTATCAATTTCTACCCCAAGTTGCATTTCGTAAAGAAATCAAACTAAATTTGTAGAAATTTCAGAGATGTTCAGTACAGGCAAATATTTTCCTCTCATTCACTAAAAGCAAGGATAAATCTACTGGCAGCCTTATTACTAATATTGTATATAATTAGTACATTCTGGGGCACTCATTTAACTACAGAAATTTGAAATTAATGTAGGGAATTGATACTGTTATCTTCATTATATATGTGACTAATTCTTTTACCTGTTTTCTGGCACAGACTCAATTTTGTTCAATAAAACAAGCATTGGATTCCATTCTATCATATATAAAGCACTGTGGTAGGCTCTGGGAGAGATAAAAAATAGTAGGACATGTTACCTGGCCTTAAGACATAAGCACAAATAATATAAACCAGAATGTTATATATACTTAGAGAAAAGTACACAATCATTTTTAGCTCAAGAGAAGAAATTATGAAAGACTCTAGGAAAGAGGCAATCTTTGAGTTGGGAAAGAGGAAACAAGAATATCCTGGATATAGGGAATAGTATGAACAAAATTAAACAAAAGGAAAAGTGCTGGGCATGTTCAATTTGGGAGTAGTGAGAGATATAGCTGGAAGGCAAGGCAGGAGCCAGATTATGGAAATCTTGGATCATGCTAAGAAGTTTGGATATAATGGTTAGATAGCCACAGAGGAGCCACTGAAAGACAGGGAAATGACAAAATTACTGTTATGTTTTAGCATGATTATTCTGACTGCAGTCTCCAAGAGAAGCTGGAGGAGGCTCAAGGTAGGGAGACTTGTTAGGAAAGGTATTCTAATAGTCCAAGCAAAGGGTGCCCAAGCCTTGAACCATGCAAGAAGCAGTCAGAATGGAAATAAGAACATGAATATATAGTCAACAAAAATTATTGACTGTCTACCTGTGAGGACCAGGGGGGAAAATGGGATAACAGTTTGGGAGACAACATGACTAGGAGGTAGGTCCATGAAGCAAGCTGGGAAATGGAGTTAGAAAAAATAGGAAGGGAAAGATGAAGAAATCTGGTATTAAACAATGAAGTTAGAATGCAGTGCCCTAAGTTTGAGTTCTAACTGTACTTCCTCTATTACATGTCCATTAATCTCTCTGGGCCTCAGTTTCCTCAACTATAAAATGTGTGCTAATATGACTGGGGTTAGGGGATGAGGGCATGATTAACTGTCTCAAGACCTTTTTGGCAGTTATGATTCCATAAGCTGATACATGTGTGGTCCTGAAGGCCCATCTTTGCAAATCTAGCAGGCATCTTGAAATGGGGTTCTGGAAATGAGGAGCTAAGCACAGATACAGCAAATAAGCAGAAAAATTCCACTCTGAGCTTGTTAAATCACAAAGATGGTACAATATACGAAATGAGCATGCAGTTTTCCACAAAGTATTAATTATTTTCCGTGTTTGTTTTCTTTCACATACTTTCTCATTTCCTTCCACTTTCTCTCCCATGTCTTCCATTTTTTTCCTTACTTAGGCTTATATAGTTTTGCAGTTTTCCCCCTGATTAGTATTTCTTTCCCCCTTTTCACTCTCCTCTAAATCACTTTTCTTTCTTTCATATACTCTTACACTTAACACTCTTTACCCCAAGAAAAGCAGACTAGTTGAATCTTAATCCCTTGTTCCATTAAATTTAGTGTGAATGTAGACTAAAAATGAGTCTGTAATTCTAATTTCTATTCTAGGCAGAAGTCAGAATAATAACTGTCACCCACTGCAGTAAAACAAATTCCTAGTTCTATTAAGCTTGTCTGGTTCACATTCACCCAGCTCCTGGACAAATGCTAGTTGGAGACTATGATCTCTAATTCATCTCTCAAACTTCTTAGTAGTTTGAAAGAATTACACTTTTTCTCCTTTTTACATAAGGTTTTGGGTAAAATAGCATTTTAAATGTGCTGTTTTTATGACAAGATTATGCACGAGGCAAGTCCCAGGCTAAACTTGTCTCTCTGGACCTGAGTCCATCTCTCTATTTTCTTCACTTTAAATTTCTCACCATTCTAGGTTTTATTCTCCTAAACTTTTCTAATTTCTTTACAGCGAGCCCAAATGATAGGTTTATCTATGATCCCATGGTATTTTTCCAAGATGGAAAGAAATAAGCCAAAGGATAGAAATTAGAGAAGAGAAGAGCAGGAAAAGTAGTTTATGAAATATTGGGAGTTTCCTTCCCACCTCCACCCATCCTTCTTTTCCACTTTCCTCTTAAATATTACAAATCAAATTCCTTGGACTCCTAAGCAGACAGGTTCATTCCCTGTTTATGAAACCCAGGCTAAAAGAAAAGGGGAGGGAGGCCCCCAAAAGGTAGTTCTATTGGAAAGAATAAAGACATTTTTGATGAGGTGGTTAGAACATAATTTGAATTTAAGACCCAAATTAAGTTCTCTTTCCTTCTGTGCCTTTTTTCTCACCTGCTTTTGGTTTTTTACTTTCTTTCTCACTTCCCCTCTCTCTAATTAACTCTCTTCTACTTTCCCCTACTCTTCTTTCTTCCCTCTGGCTCTCTCCCCTCATATCAAATCTTCTTCTAATTTCCTCAATGTTGTGCCTCATCTGTCTCCCCCTTTCTCAGGGGAACGGATGGGAGGAAAGGAAAGTAAAACAGAAAAAGATAAAAGTCGGTGGAAAAACTTCTTAAGACAACCTAAAGGTAACTTTTAAAAATTAAGGGTCTCTATAGATATAAATGATAGCTATGATGTTTTCACAAAAAATTGTTAATAAATTGAATTTTTTAACATTGGCTCTTGTCATTTCTATTGTATTAAATAGTAACAACAGAAGTGGAATGTTATGTTGAGAGGTTTGTTGTGGTTTCTGCTCTAGAATCAATCGTGGGCCAAAAGGTAACATCAGCACAGGGAGACGAGGGCACTTTGGGTGAGGCACTAGAAAAGAATCATGTGCTGCTTCTACTCCAGTGATTTTGATCATTCTCATTCCTACACTTCTTTGCTCCCTTATCATGATCTTTGCTAACCTGATTTCTTAGATTAGCCAACAGAACCAAGACCTCTTTTATATCAATACAAATATTTACAGAGCACCTACAGGGCTGTCATATAGTTGTATAGCTTGTACACTGCACAGTGTCGGTTGCATCATTCACGCTGCAGTTTATGTGCAATCATAACCTGCACAGCTATATGTGGTGGCCCTGGCCTATTGTATCCTACATTTCTTTGAAACACCAGATATCTTTACAGTGAGTTACTAAAGAATAAAACTTTTCTCAGCCATGGTAAAAACACTCAGGGGTACAGAAAGAGGAGAAGCAATGCAACCTTAGGGCTATTGTGTCTTCCATTCCTCCTCTGTCATAGCTAATGGTGTGTGTGTGTGTGTGTATGTGTGTGTGTGTGTGTTTATGTGTTTAAGGGCTCAGTTCACAGAACTGAAGGGAAGATTGGTGAACCAGAGGTGGCCTTATCAGGAACCTCTTGCCTATCTTGTCAGGGCTTTGCTGATGGAACTGAAGTGCCCACTCTTCTGTCCACCCTTCTGTCACTCTGCCACCAAAGCCAGCTTAGCACTTAAACATTTAGTTTATTAACAGCCCCCACCAAGATGCATATGGTAGGTGAGAGGCAATGCACTAAGGAGAACAATGTGGCCAAAAACCAACCAATATCCACACACAATAATCCCCTGGTCTCCACATACATTCCTTGTTCTGCACCTGTTCTTTTGTAATTTCTTTTCCCCCTTAAGAATGTCCTTAATATTCCCTTTAACTTGTACTGTGGGGGGGGGGGGAGCACTGATGGAGTGGCACAAAGGATAACATGTGCTGGCTCTTGTGTCCACCTAGGGAGATTCCCAAGCCCTGCCATCTCTCAATGTAGTACAAAATTTGGAGTGGGAAATTCCTTTCCAGATAACCCAATATTTTACAATGATTTCTTCCTTTGATTGATATCTTCTATAGCAGCAAAATTTCAAATATTGGGGTCCCAGTAAGAGAGATCTGCAAATGCAAAGAATGGCAAAAAAAAGAGGTACATATACCATGCTTAAATTTTGACTTCTAAAATTGAAAAAGTAGCTCCCAAATATTTACATTGTGAATTGCTGCTATATGGGAAAAATGTAGATTTTTTTAATGGTCAGAAAATTTGTTTCTAATAAAGACATCATATTAATATTATTACAAATGAAATAATTTGAAAGTTACTTGGGCCCTTATTTACAATGAGCAAATTATGGGTTATGTAAATCTCATGACCAAATCTTAGGACTCAATTCAGCACAGATTAAGAACTTGCAAATAATTCAATAACATGCACATAAATGTTAAAGAATAAAAGCCCATAATCTTAATCTTAACATCTTGAATGATTAAGTTCTTACACTTGGGTAGAAATAGCTTTAAAAACAAAAATTTTAAGAAATTCAGAAGTTCTTTTAATATTGCTTCAACCTCTAAATTTAAAAAATGAGAACTTATCTGTCCAAAGGATCTTTATTTTTACATTAAGAAGAAAAGTTACATCATAAATGTAATTTTGCTTATTTCAATCATTTATTTTACTGGTATTTAGTTTTTTTAGTTTTATACTTAACAGTAATAACTTTGAAAATATTCTGTATTTCAGATTTTTGAATTAAAATAAACTGATTTGATCCTTTTTTTTCTTGGTCAGATAAATACAAACTGCTAAACTAAAAAACAAGCCCAGCTCAGAAAAAGACTATCAATGCAAGAGGAAAACAAAGCAGTGTCTTCCATGTGGCAGAAATAAAGACTACTACTAATTAAGAATTCAAATCCATGTCAACCTGATTTCTTAAGTCTTAATTATTTTAATTGTGGATATCTATTTTAAAGGAAGCTAAATAATTATGCAAAACTATAAGGTTTTCAACTCATAAACTCAGTTTTTTATCTACAGGGTTGCTTTTCTTTGGCTTTGTTGAAAAAAGTTGGTATTCTCTTGGTTTTACTTTCCTCACTTGGACATTGCCTAATTCTGTATTATTTCTAACACTGGATGCTGTGGGGTGGTCCAAGCTGGGAAACCATGTTCATTCCATCTTTGCATTCTGAGTACCTGGTGCTGAGAGTATTTACTGAATCAGTAAGTGTCATTTTCAAACAGGTTAAAAAAATTCACATACTTTTAAAAATAAAAAAGAAACTACAGACAGTCCCCATCCAAAGAATGGTTTAGAGTTTTAAAAGCCTCCACTTATTTATTTTCTAAAAGCTGCCAGCTATTTCTACAACATGCTTTGCAAACATTATCTCATATAATCTTCACAGTAATAGGAGTAGTACTATATTATTTTCCCTGTTTTACAGATAGTGAAAGTAAAGCTTAGAGATTAAGCTACTTGTTCAAGCTCACACAGCTAAAAAGTGGTGGGAAAGCATTTGAACCCAAGCAGCCCAACAGCCAAGCTAAAAGCAAATTTGCAATTCACATTAGAACCCATGCATTTAAATTAAAGATAAGGGTAGTTAGGTTCTTAAAAGACTATAGAAATCTAACTCAAATTTCACACAAATAGTCCTGGTATTTCTACTATGAACTGAACTGCAATAGGGAATATCTCTTACTTCCATCTTCCCCTTCCAGTCCCACAGACAACCCTCACTATGCAGTCCTATATGGTAGCCTTAGGCATATGTGGCTATTGAGCCTTGCAGTGTGGCTAGTGCAACTGAGAGAAACTGAATTTTGAGGGTTTTTTTAATTAATGTAAATTTAAAAATTAGGTAGTGTAGATTATTTTGTTTTATTTTATTTTATTTTATTTTATTTTATTTTATTTTATTTTATTTTATTTTATTTTATTTTGAGATCAGAATCTTGCTATGTTGCCCAGGCTGGCCTTGAACTACTGGGATCAAATGATTCTCCCATCTCAGCCTCAGCCTCTCAAGTAGCTGGGACTATAGGCTCACACCATCATGCTTAGAGATGTAGAATATTTTTTCATTAAACACAACTTTATTGTCTTGGTAGAGCTACACTTTTTACTTCAACTGTTGAAAATGTAGTGTCCAAATAGCAATACGATGTAAGTGTAAAATACACACCAGATTTTGAAGTCTTTGTATACAAAAAGAATGTGAAATATTTCATTAATAACTTTTGTATTGATCATATGTTTAAATGATAATATCTTGGATATATTGTGTTAAATAAAAATATTTAAGGATTAAGTTCATCTATTTTTACTTTTTTAATGTGTAATTAAGTTACACTTAATGTGTAACTATTAAGTTACACATGTGAAAAAAACATATGTGTCTCATGATGTATTTCCATTGGATAGCACTGCTTTAAAGAGAAACTCCCTACGTAGTCCCTTGGCCCATAGCCTAGCGGATCCCTCCTCCTCATTTCCCTACTTCTTCAAGGATGGCAGGAGTTTCCTTCCTACCTCCAAAATCAGGAACAAAAAAGGAGATTTCCATGAAAACAGGAATAAACTACCATTGGGGCATTTTTAAGTTAGGAATATATATAAACTAACAGTTTCTAATTTGGAGATGGCTCCTCATTATAGAAACTGTTTTCTTTATATAGATTATCTATTACAAATTGATTATTAAGGGAAGAAAGTCATAACTATGATTGATTATTACTATCTAGTAACAGTCCTTCAAAATGCAATATACATCGTGGTTGGTATATAAGCACTTTGGAAGATACTTTGGAAAATTCTTATATAGTTAAGACATTCTTGTCATATGACCAAACAATTCTATTCCTAGGTATTTACTCAAAAAAAAACCAAAAACATGTTCACAAGACATATGTTCAAAACAAGACTCATACATAAATTATTATAGGAAGTTTAGTCATAATAAGAAAAAACTGGAAACAACCCAAATGCCCATCAACAAGTGGATGGTCAAACAAATTGGGGTATTTTAACACAGCAACACTACTTAGCAATAAAAAGAAACTGACTACTAATAAAGTAGTCCCCCTTATCCACAGTTTTTCTTTCCATGGTTTCAGTTACCCACAGTCCAAAACTATTAAGTGCAAAGTTCCAGAAATAAACAATTCATAAGTCTTAAATTGAATGTTTTGAGAAGCGTGATGAAATCTCATTTCATCCAGCTCTGTCCCCCCTGAGATATGAATCATTTCTTTGTCCAGCTATTCAGGCAGTACATGCT